CTGATGACAACGAAGATAACTGCTAGTGGTAAAGGATTTCCCACATTGACTGCATTTATAAGGCTTTTCTCCAGTGTGAACTCTCTGGTGACGACGAAGATCACTTCTAGTGGCAAAAGACTTCCCACATTCACTGCATTTAGAAGGCTTTTCTCCAGTATGAACCCTTTGATGACACCGAAGGCAACTACTGCTGGCAAAAGATTTCCCGCATTCACTGCATTTATATGGCTTTTCTCCGGTATGAACTCTCTGATGACGACAAAGATCAGTGCTGGTATTAAAAGATTTTGGACATTCACTACACACATAACGCTTTTCTACAGTGTGTAAACTTTGATGATTACAGAGGCTACTGCTCCGGGTAAAAGATTTCCCACATTCACTGCACTCATAAGGACTTTCTCCAGTGTGAAGTCTCTGATGACAATGAAGGCTATGCATTGTTGTAAAAGATTTCCCACATTCACTACATTTGTAAGGCTTTTCTCCAGTGTGAACTCTCTGGTGACGATGAAGGGTAGTGATACTGGCAAAATAATTCCCACATTCACTGCACTGATAAGGCCTTTCTGCAGTATGAAGATGATGTTCATGAGTTGCAGTATTACTGATAGAAGATTTCCCATATTCACTGCACTCATAAGTCCTTTCTCTGGTGTCAACTCTCTGATGACAACAGAGGTCACTGCTGTTGGTAAAAGTTTTTCCACATTCACTGTACTCAAAAGTGTTTTCTCCAGTGTGAATACTCTGTTGATAATGAAAGCTAGAAGATTTGGTAAAGTAATTTCCACATTCAGAGCATAGAAAACACTGACTTCCAGAATGTAAACACTTGTCCTGGATAAATGTGTGATTGCAGCTAATGACTTTGTTATGTCCTGACCAGGTATGTATACCCTGCCCAATGTCCCCACGAGTGAAATGATTATGAGACACCTTGAAATTACAGCTGTTTGCAAGTGATATGCTGTCCACACCTCTAATGGAAGTCTCTTCTCTCACATGCTGCTGGTGAAATTGTGCACTGAGGCAAAACTGTTTTCCACATGCCCCACACCTCAACAGTATCTGTCTGTATTGTGTTCCGTGCAGTTCTATCACGTGGAAAATATTTCCCAAGACTAGCCCACAACTCTCACAGGGGTGGCTCTTCTGGGAAGACAAGGCTAACTTGGGATTCCTTGCCTGTGACTCTGTTACAGAAACCTGTTCATTCACTGTCTCCACATACTCTGCACCACAGCAGCAACCTGAAAAAACACACACACGCACACACACAAAAAACAACAAATAAACAAACAAACAAAAAAACGCTGGTGAAGTACATGCTGACATTTTATCTTCACTACAAATGTATATTTGTAATGACTAGACATGATCCATAGACTCTGAGGAAATGGCTGTTATATATTTCTTGGCCCCAAAGGTCAGTCAATGGTGAAAATCTCCCCAAGGGAGGGACAGAAGCACAGCATGGGATACAAAGAAAAGAGGAAGGGTTTGCTAGTTGTTCCTCCACAAATGTCTTCCATAAGGACTTTCATGTTGACGTGAGTCTGTGTAGAATAATTTGAATGTGTTCAAACCTAAACATCAATTCTATTAGAGCATGTGATGTTCTACCTCAATACAGCAAGAGGTGTGCACTCTAAGGATCTGTAGGTATGGACCAATTGTGGAGGGCAAAAAAGAGAGATTCCACCCCTGTGAGAGGTGAAAAATTTAGCGAGGTTAGGTTATTAATGGACTGCAAATCCAAGCAGAGTGAGCACTGATCACTATTAAAACCGAGTTGTTGCCAAAACTGCTTTAGCTCAGTAGTAGAGTGTCGGTCTGTGGACTGAAAGGTCCTGGGTTCAATTCCAGTCAAGGGCATGTACATTGGTTGCGGGCACATCCCCGGTGGGGGTGTGCAGGAGGCGGCTGGTCGATGTTTCTCTCTCATCGATGTTTCTGGCTCTCTATCTCTCTCCCTTCCTCTTTGTAAAAAATCAATGAAATATATTTTTTTTATAAAAAAACACAAAAAAACTGAGTTGTTGACAAAGTGTCAACAATAAGCAAAAACAAATAGAATTGGGTGAAGAATAGGTAATGGTAACAAAACACTGTGGAACCAAACAGGTTCCTAGTTATGAATACAACAAAGCTCGGGTGTAAAAACCTCCCTAACAGCCCTTTACTCAAGCAAGACTGCCTGCGAGTCCACTGTGTCATTCAAAGTCATGTTTCTATTGTGATGCAGAAATGCTTAATTCCCAGTAGAGCCATTGCATGGATGAATGATAAAAATCTTAAAAGAAACATTAAAAAGATGGTCAACACTGTGGTACAACAGCACAGCACAGATGAGATCATAGGCAAAAGAGCTATGTGAATGACATCAGCAGAATCAGAGATGTGACCATCTTCTCTCATCCCAGAGTAACTAGACAGTTATCCATGAATAAAAAAACCCCACAGGAAATGGGAATAACAATACAATGAAGACAGCAGTAATACAGAATACCAAATAAGGACAACTGCATAGAACAAATAACTGGAAAGACTGGGTGAGCAAACATATTTGCAGAAAGCTAGTCAAAAACAAGAGGTCAGAGTTACCTCTATCAACCAATGTGCTTCTGCTATCATTGACCATAGTGGCCTATTATTCGAAAAATACTGCAAATTTTGTTCTAAAAAACACAGAATGGCCCTAGTCGGTTTAGCTCAGTGGCTAGAGAATAGGCCTGCAGACTGAAGGGTCCCGGATTAGATTCCAACACTAGTGTCCCAGATTCAATTCCAGTCAAAGGCATATGTCCAGGTTGTAGGCTCAATCCCCAGTAGGGGGTGTGTAGGAGGCAGCAAATCATGATTGTCTCTCATCATTGATATTTCTCTCTCTCTGTCTCCCTTCCAGTCTGAAATCAATAAAAATATATTAAAAACAAAAACAAAAAATAACCACAGAATACCCTAGCCAGTGTGGCTCAATTGGTTGGAGTATAGTCCTGGGGTCTCAGATTCGATTTCCAATCAGGGCACATATCAGTACGTAGATTGCATTTCCAGTTAGGACATGTTTGTAAACAACCAATTGATGTATCTCCTTCACACTGATATCCCTCCTTCTTCTCTCCCTCCCATTCCATTTCTATTCCTCTCTGTCAGAAACTGAATATAAAAAATAAATAAGAATTCCAAGGTAGCCAAATAAAAAGAGAACTCAAAAAGGTCTAGAGACAAAATCAAACGACTTCTACCAAAGCTCATGTATAAAATTCAGAAAATGCAATTCTAATAGCCAATTTTAAAAAGATAAATACCTACAATATGAAAAAAATACCTCAAAAAAAGAAAAATACTGGCACCTCAGAAAACTAGAAACACAACAAAGTAAACACAAAGGTTGGGGGGAAAAAACAACAATAAATATTAAAACAAACATAAATAAAAAGTACATAAGACAAAATACAAGAATACCTACCAGCCGAAACCAGTTTGGCTCAATGGACAGAGTGTGTCGGTCTGCGGACTGAAAGGTCCCATGTTTGATTCTGGCGAAGGGCATGTACATTGGTTGCAAGCACATCCCCAGTTGGAGGTGTGCAGGAGGCAACTGGTCGATGTTTCTCTCCCATCAATGCTTCTAGCTCTCTATACCTCTACCTTCCTCTCTGTGAAAAATTAATAATGTGTGTGTGTGTGTGTGTGTGTGTGTGTGTGTGTATATATATATATATATATATATATATATATATATATAAATAAATACCTAACAGGTATTTTTTTTAAAGATACAAAATTAGAAAAACTTTAACTACACTAATAGAAACAAACAAAAAGCCTCAAATAAACTGTAAAGAAATGAAAATTAAGACATTACACCTGACACTATGAACCAAAATGCATCATGAGATGTCAATATTAGCAGATGACCTGTCCCTCCATAGAGATATTTGTCAAGATCCCATATGAGCTTCTGAAATAATGAAATTCAGAAGCCCGGGCAGGTGGCTCAATTGGTGTGTGTGGTCCCTATGCACCAACATTGTGGATTTGATCCCCCATCAGGGCACATGCAGGGGAGAGTTAGTAATGCATAGAAGGATAGAACAGCAGATCAATGTTTGCCTCTCTTTTGCTGTCTCCCTTCCTGTCTCTAAAATCCATATATATAAAAGCCTGAGTGACCGGCTGACAAGCTGACCAGCTGTTACCTATGATGTGCACTGACCAACCAGAAAGCAGACGCTCAACACAGGAGCAGAAACTACAGGCACAGGGAACAGACTGATGAATAACAGAGGGAAGGAGAGAGGAGAGGGGAAGAAAAGATTAACCAAAGATATTAAATACAGACAAGAGGCCTGGTGCATGAAATTCGTGCATGGGGGGTAGGGATGTGTATGTGTCACTCAGCCCAGCCTGCAACCTCTCAAATTTGGGACATCCCTCCACAATCCAGGGCTGCTGGCTCCTAACTGCTCACCTGCCTGCCTGCCCAATTGTTCCTAACTTCCCTCCCCTGCCAGCCTGGTCACCCTTAACTGCCCACCCCTACTGCCCTAGTCGCCATCAACTGCATTCCCCTGCAGGCCTGGTTACCTCTAACTGTCCTCCCCTGCAGGTCTAGTCACCCCCAACTGCCCTCCCCTGCAGGCCTGGTCCCCCCCAACTGCTCTCTCCTGCAGGCTTGGTCCCTCCCAACTGTCCTTCCCTGCAGGCCTGATCCCCACCCAACTGCTTTACCCTGTAGACCTGGTTTCCCCGCAACTGTTCTACTCTGTAGGCCTGTCCCCCCTAACTGTCCTCCCCTATTGGTCTGATCACCCATAACTGCCTTCCTGTACTGGCCATCTTGTGATGGCTACCTGTGCCCACATGGAGGCAGCCATCTTTGACCACTTTGGGTGACCATCTTATGTGTTGGAATGATAGTCAATTTGCATATTATTCTTTTCTTAGAGGCCAAGTGCATGGATTCGTGCACCAGGAAGATCCCTTGGCCTGGCCTGCAGGGGTTGAGCCAAAGCCAACTCTTTCAGATCTCCTGAGGGGTCCTAGAATGCAAAAGGGTGCAGGCCAGGCCAAAGGACCAAATCAGTGCACAAATCAATGCACTGGGCCTATAGTAAATAAATAAAGGATGGCTAGTATGGCTCAGTGATTCAATTCCTTGTCCAGGCACATGCACAGTTGAGCTCAATTAGCAGTGTGGGTTGTGCAGGCGGCAGCCCATCAAGGCCTCTTTCTCATCACTGATATTTCAATCTCTCTCTCCTCCGCTTCCTCTGTAAAATCAATAATTTTAAAAAAATATAATTTATACAATTAATACATAGCCCTGGACAGTGTTGCTCAGTGGTGAGAATGCTGGCATATGCACTGGAGAGTCATGGGTTAGATTCCCAGTCAAGGGCAGGTCCCGTGGTTGCAACTCTGTTACCACTACCAGTAAAGGCAAATGTGGAAGGCAACCAATTGATGTTTCTCTCTCTCTGTCTCTCATTTTTATCTCTCTAAAAGAAAATCAATGGAAAAAGTATTCACACTACCTGGGTGAAGATAAAAGAATAAAGAATTAAATTCAGCTGAAACAGGTTTGGCTTAGTGGATAGAGGTTGGCCTGCAGACTGAAAGGTCCCAGGTTTGAATCTAGTCAAGGGCATATACCTTGGTTACGGCACATCCCCAGTGGGGGGTGTGTAGGAGGCAGCTGATTGATGTTTTTCTCTCATTGATGTTTCTAGCTCTCTATCCCTCTCTCTTCCTCTCTGTAAAAAAGTCAATAAAAAAAAAATCTCTCATTGTTGTTTGACTCTCTGTCCCTCTCTCTTCCTCTCTATAAAGAAATTAATAAAATATATATTTTTTAAAAAGACATCCTGTGTTCATGAATTAAATTAAATTTAGAAATGTTACAGGAAGCAAAATAAACATACAAATATTAGTTCCAGTTCTACACATAGTAATAAATTCTTTAATAGAAAAATGAAGGTAGTCAAATTTAAAATAGCATTAAAAAAATTAAAAAATATGAATGCATTTGGCCAAAAGGTGGAACATCTATACATTAAACCCTATAATCCTATATAATAAAGAGCTAATATACAAATGGTCATCACGTCCTCATGCCTTAACTAAGACACTAAACCAGGGGTGTCGAACTCAATCAGAGAAGGGGCCAAAATCTAAAATCCAGCCTAAATCGCGGGCTGAATGGTTTACTGAACAGTCATAAACTGTCATTGTGATGGAAACGCAGCGGAGTGCAGTGATGACAGCGCGGTGCGGGCCACATTGCAAGGCCTGGCGGGATGGATTTGGCCTGCGGGCCTTGTGTTTGACACATGTGCACTAAACAATGGGGAAGGCAAGAAAGGGGTGGCAGTTGGAGGTGATCAGGCCAAGAGTGGGGAGCGGTTGGGAATGATCAGGCAAGCAGGAGAGGGGTGATCAGGCAGGCAGGTGAGCACTTAGGAGCCCATGGTCTCAACTGGAGAGAGTACAGACGGGGCTGAAGGATTCCCAACCCCGTGTCATGCAATGGGCCTCTAGTACAAAGATAAAAAGAATGGAAAAAAACACAACTAAGTTAAAAGACATCCTTTGTTGCCGAAACCGGTTTGGCTCAGTGGATAAAGCATTGGCCTGCAGACTGAAAGATCTCAGGCTAGATTCTGGTCAAGGGCATGTACCTTGGTGGAGAGCACATCCCCAGTAGGGGGTGTGCAAGAGGCACCTGATAGATGATTCTCTCTCATTGATGTTTCTAACTCTCTATCCCTCTCTCTTCCTCTCTGTAAAAAATCAATTAAAAAAAAACAAAAAAACTTTCTTGCTAAGCACTAGAAACAAGCATCTGAGCTTGCTAGAAACATGGTGGCACTAGAACTGCTGACTGCATGGTTCCCAAAAACATGGACTTTGTAGAAAAGTGGGCTTGGGAGAGTAGTATCTGTGAAGCACAATTAAGAACATGAAAAAAAAAAATGTCTTCCCATATGTAATAAGCAATTAATACATAAAATATAGGAGGTAATCAAGATTCTTTAACCAAGAAAATACACTTAATAAACAGGATAAGAATGTAGAATAAAATACTCTAAAAACTACGCACAAATGACCAAAAGGAATATAAAAAATGCTTTCCTCACTAATCAAGGTGGGATTCTTCAAGCTTCCTGCAACACTACCAGCCACAAGTCCTTCCCTTTGAATGTAGTCCAGCGGGGAGAATTGGGATTTCAGGAATAGAAGGGAGCAGTGGAAACAGACCCAATCTCCCCAGGACACCAACTACCCAGGAAACTGGAAAATCAAGCAGAACCACAGTCTACATGGCAGGACACAGCACACCCTGGGAAAAGGGGCCTGGGAAATCCCAAAGCCAAGTCCAGATCACTGGTGACAGTGAGGGTCTTACCCAGCGAGGATACAAGTTCAAAGTTCTCCAGCATCACATTCAGGTACAGCTGTCTCTGACCCTCATCAAGGAGGCTCCATTCCTCCCTGGAGAAGTACAGGGCAACATCCTCCAAGGTCACGCCAACCTGTCAGAATAGACACAATTGATACCAGTCCTGTCTCTCTGAGAACCAATAATTCTCCTGACAATCATTCCCCACCCTCAACCTCCCCCAGGGCACCCGGTTAGTGTAGACACCAGGCCCTAAGGCCAGTGCAGGCTGCTCTCTCATCATAGTCCTGTCAGTCAAGGATTACCTTCAGCAGAGTTTCTGGGTTGGGTGGGAAGAATTAGGGGAGGGGAGGGTAGAGAGCATTTAAGCTCTGGACGGTGCTTCCCAGGCCCCAGGCAATCCCACTACAGTCTCCTAGATCATGCCTCCAAGACAAAACCTACACAGAGGTTATTCTTCACCTTTAAATCAGTTCACACTTCCTCCAGATGTGCACACACTGGGTAATGCTTATCCCCTTCCCATCTTCAGTCCCAGGTTCACTCCCTCAGCTCTGCCCCCTTCCTGCTCCAATGCCACTGGGTCTCGCTGGACTCCCCCATGAACTTGGCACATGGCATGTGGAGAAGCTTGTCTTCCAGCCGGGTCCAGGACCACCCCAGGCCCCTGAGGGACCCCACAGCCGGGAAAGCCCCTATGAGGCTGTGACGGCCTCCCTGCAGCCTCCGATCTGCCTGCCAATCCTCACAGCCACACCCTCAGGGGAACCTCAGAGGCCGGTCACCCCTGTCCCCTCCGCCCCGCACTGGCTGTCCTCAGAAGCCACCGCGCTCCTCCCTCCCCTCCGCCTTCCTCACGGTCCTCCCCGCGGACGGAGCTGCAGGAGGGACAGGCCCGCACCGGCCTGTGGGGTGCGGGGTGAGGAGGCGGGGAGCCTGGGGGACAGGAACTCACCTCAGCGAAGCTCCTCAGCGCGGGCGCGGCCATCGCGCTCCGTGGGCCGCGCGGGACGGGGGCGGGGAGTGGGCGGCAGCCGCCCAGGGAACCGCGGGCCCGCCCGAGGCCTGGCGCGGTCCGTTAGCGACAGAGAGTTCTAATTCCAAGCGTGAGCCTTGAGCGCCCTGCAGGCTCCCCCCATGGCTGAGGCCGGAACACCACTCTTCTGCCTTCCCCGCTGGCGTCTGTGACATGGATCTCTTGAATCTCCGAGACATAAAACTGAGAAAACAAAAATCTGACTAGGACTTCCGGTCCCGCCCTCCAGAACTGGAAAAAAACGGAAACGCCTATCCTGAGCTTCCATTGGCTCCGCCTGTAGTCCTTCCACGCACGGCCTTCTGGGTAATGTAGTTTCTATGCTCCAAGGCCAGGATTTGACATTTCCTCAGCTGACTCCAGGCCTGGTTTTGACAGCAAATAGCTCAGCAACACACCAAAGATCATCAGGACCCTCTAGCGCCATCAGGGGAGATTATTTCCAGGGCAAATTTGTTTCTAAGGCCCCTGGTTGGCTTCCTTTAGCTGCTGGTTTTGCATATCTTTCTTCAGGACCCATTCTTTTGGGAATGGCAGGCATTGTTTCTTCATTCAGGCAATTAGGCACGTGTCTCCCTCAGGGCAAATGTAGCTTGCAGAGGTTGTTCAAGTCTCTAATTGGATCTATCCTATCTTCATTGAATTCATTATACAAAGTTAATGTCACAAAAACAGACGCTCATACTTGAGATCATCTGCTTCTGATGCCATCCGAAGTGTCATTAGCTCTGCCTGGGCTGCAATTTGGATGAGATGGACAGGAGACATGTGAAAAATGCTCCCCATTCACTGATCATCAGAGAGATGCAAGTTAAAGCAACAATTAGGTACCACCTCACCACTGTCAGAATGGCTGCCATCAACAAAGGATACCTGCTGGCGAGGATGTGTCCCAAGCAGATCCCGGGAAAGGATCTGGGGTGTTCATCTATTCCAGGCGTCTTCAAACTTTTTAAAGTGGGGGCCAGATCACGGTCCTTCAGAGAGCTGGAGGGCCGGACTATATGAACTACTAATTCCTACTGTAACACCTCGGCTGCGCTCACTGCCCAAAAAACCTGGCGGGCCGGATCAGACTCCTCTGCGGGCCTCATGTGGCCCGCGGGCTGTAGTTTGAAGACGCCTGAATTTTATTCTAAGGCATCCCTTGAAATAAACTTTAATCATGCAGGTGGGGGACATTCAAGTGATTGCTAGCAAAGAGGCTACTGCACACAAGCAGGACCGAGGGCAGGCTTAGGATAAAAAAGATCAGAAGCTTTCATTTAAATGTGAAGCCTACACAAAATAATTCAATCAACTGCTAGAGGAATTACACCACATGAAACATATGAAGTTGCAAATCACACACCATTTTATTAGTCACACGATTCCTGGTACTGCGGGTACAGGCTTAAATGGGGATTCTGGTGGTGCTGTCCTCTGGGTCCGGCAGCTGGGCTGGGCTGGATGCAGGGGGCAGGTGTTCCTCACCTGAGAGCTGGGTCAAGTTTCAATTGCAGGGTGCTAGCTGTTCTTCTGTAGTCTGGCAGGAAGAGGAGTGTGGAGCGTTATCGCTTGCAGGACTGGCAAGGCAAGCACTGGGCTAGTTGGGATCCCATTTTAAAAATATACAGTTTATTGAATTTTTACAGAGAGAAAGGGAGAGGCCTAGAGAGCTAGAAACATCGATGAGAGAGAAACATCGATCAACTGCCTCATGCAAAACCCTCCACTGGGGGTGTGCCCCCAACATGCCCTTGACCGGAATCGAACCTGTGACCCTCCAGTCTACAGGCTGATGCTCTATCCACTGAGCCAAACCAACCCAACCATTTTTAAATATATATATTTTATTTATTTTTTTACAGAGAGGAATGGAGAGTTAGAAACATTGATGAGAGAGAAACATCAATCAGGTGCCACTTGCACAGGATGTGCCCACAACCAAGGAACACGCCCTTGACTGGAATTGAACCTGGGACCTTTCAGTCTGCAGACCGACGCGCCATCCACTGAGACAAACCAGTTAGGACAGGATCCCCATTTAAAAAAATATATTTTATTGATTTTTTACAGAGAAAAAGGGAGAGGGATAGAGCCAGAAACATTGATGAGAGAGAAACATCAATCAGCCACCTCCTGCATTCCCTCCACCCGCAATTAGGGATGGGCCCATAAGCAAGGTACGTGCCTTTGACCAGAACTGAACTCGGGACCCTTGAGTCCGCCACATACTCTGTGCTCACAAACTGTGAGCAAGTTTCTGGGTGAGGGGCACTCCCCTTGTAGGAGCACACTGAGCACCAGGGGGCAGCTCTTGCATTGAGCATCTGCCCCTTGGTGGTCAGTGCATATCGTAGGGACCAGTCTTTCTGTAGTTTTGTTTATTTGCATATTCGCCTTTTATTATATACGATATTTTGTACCAGCTTTATTAGAAATGACCAAATGCTCATTTGTATAAACTATTGATGATATATTCAAAGTAAAAATATTTATGAAAAAAAAGGACGTTACTAAAATATCTTGATGCTTTTTTAAAAAATATATTTTATTGATTTTTTACAGAGAGGAAGGGAGAGAAATAGAGAGTTAGAAACGTTGGTGAGAGAGAAACATCGACCAGCTGCCTCTTGCACACCCCCCACTGGGGATGTGCCCGCAACCAAGGCACATGCCCTTGACCGGAATCGAACCCAGGACCTTTCAGTCCGCAGACCAACGCTCTACCACTGAACCAAATCGGCCTCAGCTAAAATATCTTTAATATCCAAAAATTTATGAAACATAAAGCAGAAAAATACTTAGAAAATGCAAAGTGATCTATTGAAATGGAATGTAAATGACTGAATACTTGTTAATCTGTGAAGCACATGGACACATTCGAAAAAGTCATGAACCAAGTTCACAGTGATAGCTATGGTCAATACCTATGTATATGAAAGCCTAAAGGACCAGTCACTATGATGCACTCTGACCACTAGGGGGCAGATGCTGCCAAAGCAGAAGTGCTACTCAGCTCACCTTCCAGGCACCCAGCTGACAAAGCAGGTGCAAAGGCACAAACCTATCCCATGGTCACTCCCTCCGCACGCCCCTACCCCATCCTGACCAGGATCAACACTGGCATTGAGACTAATTTGGCACAAGCTCACTGCTGCTTCTCGGTCACGAACATTCCAGTATCACCATAGAATGGGTGCGCAGTGGTGCAATAACGAACCTACCGAGTGCCAATGGCAGGGGCAGCAGGATGAGTGGGAGCATCACCTGCATGCCAGTTGGTACTTGGAAGATGTTCAATGCCAGATTCTGATCAATTCCCGCAGGCCACGCTGAGTGACCTCACCAGTGCATGAATCTGTGCACCGGGCCTCTAATTATGACTATAAAGATGGTTTTACTTTCATGAACACATAATGATTTATAAAACAGTATACCTAACCTGTACTTTATTCGTTATACCTTTTTAAAAGTGATACAATATTTTAAAAGAATATTTTCAGCCGAAACTGGTTTGGCTCAGTGGATAGAGCGTCAGCCTGCGGACTGAAGAGTCCGGTGTTCGATTCTGGTCAAGGGAATGTACCTTGGTTGCAGGCACATCTCCAATAGGGAGTGTGCAAGAGGCAGCTGATTGATGATTCTCTCTCATCGATGTTTCTAACTCTCTATACCTCTCTCTTCCTCTCCGTAAAAAAAAAAATCAATAAAAAGAAAATCACCCATGGAATTGTAGGCTTTAGGTCTCATGGCCCTCTACAAGAGATTCCTTTCAAGTGTATGGACATCCCTTGTAAAACAGAAAAAAATTCACACTGTTGGAAGATATACTTGAGGTTGTCACAGCTACCAACTCTTTGGAGTGACCTCTGTGTCACAAAGAATCCAGAAACAATATGAGGACTAAAGAATCCATATGCTTCCTAGAAAAACATTTGGCAAAAACTGCTGTGGAAATTTCTACACTATATTGTTCCCTCAAAGGCAAAAATGTTTGAGACCCCGTATGCTTTTCACCTCACCATGCTAGAAGAGCCCATATCTCCTTAGAAGCTAACTCACATAGTAAATAGCAAACCCAAGATTAAAGAAGTCTTAGGAAAAAGCCTTCATTATTTTACAAACCAAAGAGACATGAGACTGGCAGTTCTTGAACTGATGAATTATGCACTCAATAAATTAATCACTGGCATCTAGGAAAAGAGTGCCCTTGAGAATGGCAGTAAATCTGCAATATTATGGGGCCAACACTAAGTCCTATGTTACAACTGGTTAGAGGGAAAACAGAAACCAAGAGCTCAGGTATTTCTAATTTTTTTCAACAAACTACACAACAGAATTAGTTTCCCTGGGCACAAGAGGATGGTGATTGATGCCATATGTAGGGACCTTATAGGTAGTTCAGGTGAAATACCTTTAGCAACAGAGAAACCAAGATGGCAGCATAGGTAAGCACCTAAACTGTTGCCTTGCACAATTTCAAAATTACAACAAAAAGACAGAATGGACATCATCCAGAACCACAGGAAAGCTGGCTGAGTGGAAATTCTACAACTAGAAGGAAAGAGAAAAGCTCACAGAAAGTCAGAGGAGCTGCAAAGGGCTAAAGTACAGAGACATGCACGCAAAGAGGAAGGGTGACTAAGTGCCTGGCTGGCTTTCTCTAGTGGGAGGGAGAAGGAAGCTCCCAAATGCACTGAACCCCAGTTCTTTTTTTTTTTTTTTTAATATATTTTATTGATATTTTACAGAGAGGAGGAAGGGAGATAGAGAGCTAGAAACATCGATGAGAGAGAAACATCGACCAGTTGTCTCTTGCACACCCCCTACTGGGGATGTGCCCGCAACCAAGGTACATGCCCTTGACCGGAATCGAACCTGGGACCTTTCAGTCTGCAGACCAACACTCTACCGCTGAGCCAAACTGGTTTCGGCTGAACCCCAGTTCTGACTGCACTGAACTGCAGCTGCAGGCAAACCCCTGGGGACCCAGGCTCTTATGGGGGAATCTGGGCTGTCAGGTTGAGACTCAGCGGAGCTGAGAAAGGCAGAGGTCCAGAGGCACATGTGCAAGTGCATGCAGAGAGGACTGACTGCTGAGTGTGCCGCTGGCTTGCTCTCACTGGAGGGAACAGGATAGTAAAGATAAAAATTATGAACAACAAATGCATATCTATCAATAAGTGAATCTAAAAATCAAGTGAATTAAAAATCTGAGGAACAGAATAAACTGGTAAATATAATATTAATAGAATTAGGGGCATAGAAAGGAAGTGGACTCATAATCCTGAGGGGGAAAAGGGTGTGGGGGGTGCCGGAAGAGATTGGATAAAAATTGTACACCTATCGATGAAGACTGTGGGGGGAAGTAAGGGCAGAGGGTGGGGTGGGAACCAGGTGGATGGGAGAGAATGGGGAAAAAGGAGAAACAATTTTAATAATCTGAACAATAAAGATTTATTAAATAAATAAATAAAAAATACCTTCAGCAACAGAAATATGTAGTAACATAGATCTGACAATAGATCTCTGAAGTTACAAAATGAAACAGATATGTATAGTTCCAACATAAAAATAAATACAACAAATACACTTATGGGGACTTTACATAATATAGGTGATTACATATATAAGATACAATTCAGACAAATGAGACTTCACAAATTTTCTTATACTATTGTTAAGACCTAAGAAACAACATTTCGTACACATCTAAGTAATTACTCTCATTTGGTCTAATATGTACAAAGGAAATTTAGAAATTTGGCTGAGACATATCTCATGTTATCTTCACCCATAATAGCTTTCTTCAGTGTGAACTCTCTGATGATACTGAAGACCACTGCTACTTTTGAAAGATTTCCCACATTCACTGCATTTATAAGACTTTTCTCCAGTGTGAGAACTTTGATGGTGGTAACAGAAGCTACTCCAATTGATAAACGATTTCCCACATTCACTGCATTTATAAGGCTTTTCTCCATTGTGAATTCTCTGATGACAATGAAGGTGATAACTCATGATAAAAGACTTCCCACAATCATTGCATTTATAAGGCTTTTCTCCAGTATGAATTCTCTGATGACAACGAAGGACAGTACTACTGGCAAAAGATTTCCCACATTCACTGCTTTTATTAGGCTTTTCTACAGTGTGAGAACTTTGATAACGGAGGCTACTCAACTTGGTAAATGATTTCCCACATTCACTGCATTTATAAGGATTTTCTCCAGCGTGAGCACTTTGATAACGGAGGCTACTCAAATTGGTAAATGATTTCCCACATTCGTTGCATTTATAAGGCTTTTCTCCAGTATGAAATCTCTGATGACGAAGAAGCTCACTGCTAGTGATAAAAGATTTCCCACATTCACTGCATTTATGAGGTTTTTCTCCAGTGTGAACTCTCTGATGAAGACAAAGCTCACTACTAGTGATAAAACATTTCCCACATTCACTACATTTGTAATGCTTTTCTCCATTGTGAATTCTCTGATGACAATGAAGGTGATACCTCATGATAAAAGACTTCCCACACTCATTGCATTTATAAGGCTTTTCTCCAGTATGAATTCTCTGATGACAACGAAGGACAGTACTACTGGCAAAAGATTTCCCACATTCACTGCATTTATTAGGCTTTTCTACAGTGTGAGTTTGATAATGGAGGCTACTCAACTTGGTAAATGATTTCCCATATTCACTGCATTTATGAGGATTTTCTCCAATGTGAATTGTCTGATTACTACTGCCAATGTTTTCCTCTAATTCCTTTCTGGTGTAAAAACCTTTTCTCCTTTGAAACGCCAACCGAATCTTACAAATATCATTTGGCCTGTCCTTGGTCTGAGAAGCCTTAAGATGGAAATGTCCTGACCAGGTAAGTGTGCCTGCCTCCCTACAGGTGAAATAATTCTGGTAAACATTGAAATTGCACATGTTCGAAAGTGACATCCTGGTCATATCTCCAATCAGCATGCTCTCTCTCAGATACTGCTGGTGAAATTTTGTACTGAAATAAAATTGTTTTGCACATACCCCACACCTCAATAGTACATGGATCTGCTGAGTTTCCTGCCCCTCCATTACATGGAAAATGTTTCCCAAGACGAGTCCACAATTCTCACAGGGGTGGCTCTTTTGGGAAGACAAGGCTAACTTGGGATTCCTTGCCTGTGACACTCTTACAGAAATGTTTTGTTCTGCTTGTTCCTCCACATTCTCTGCTCCACAGCAGCAACCTGAACAAAAGGAAATGCTGGTGAAGTACATGTTGACCTTACGAAAACAGAATAACTTCACTACAAATGTTTATCTGTAATAACTATGCATGATTTCATAGAATAATTTTCTGACAAGTGATTTGGACTGTAAGGAAATAGCTGTTACACATTACTTGGCCCCAAAGATTAGTCAATGATGAAAATCTCACCAAGGCAAGGACAGAAACAGAAAATAGGAAACACAGAAGAGAAAAAAGCTCTACTCATTGGTCCTATACAAATGGCTTCTTTTAGAACCTTTCATTCTGGCACCCTCAGTCTGGGTAGGAGAATTTGAATGTGCTCAAACCCACAAAAAACTGTTGTATTGGAGCACAAGATGTTCAAGGTCAATACAATAATCTGTGTGCACTCTGCAGGCACAGACTAAGATTGGTTTGCCATAAAGAGAGAACTGTGAAAGAGGTAGAGGGGCAATGTTTAGAGAAATTAAAGTTATCTGTGCACTTAGAATCCGGGTAGAAATAAATCACCTGAGGAGTTGGCAAAGTGTCACCAATAAGCAAGTAAATGTAGAATTGGTGAGGAATGGGTCATGGCAACAAAATACATTTGAACAAAATGAGTTCCTAATTATGACTTTAACAAAGCTCTGGTATCAAAACTTTTCCAACAGGCCTTCACCAAGGCATGACTGCCTTTGGGTCCACCCTGTCATTCATCAGGTCATGTTTCTTTTGTGATGTACAAATGATTCTCTCCCATGAATCCCAATGATTCAGCATAGGGGATTCAGATTATATAAATCCAAAAGAAAAAAACAAAACAAAGAGATGCATGCTGAGCATTGTGGAAGAACTACAAAGTGTTACAGTGATCACTGAAAAAAATCTGTTAGTTACATCAGCAAGATGGAGAGTAAGACAGATGATAATCCTTTCCACTCTCAGAACAAGTGTGCAGCTGCAAAGGGTTAAGAGTACAATGAAACTCTGGCTGGTTTTGCTCAATGCTTGGAGCATTGGCTTGCACACAGAAGGATAGAGGATTGATTCCTTGTCAAGGTCACACACACGGGTGGAAGTTAGCTGATGCCCCATTAGGTGGGTGTGGGAGGCAACTAGTAAATACATCTCTCTCACATCAATATTCCCCAATCTATCCCTGCTCACTCCTTTCCACTGTCTCTCTCTCTGAAAAGCAATGGACAAAAGAGTGACGATTAAAAAGAAAAGAGTGCAATTAACACTAAAAGGAATTCAGTAGAGAAAAAAAAAAAAAAAAAAAAAAAAAAAAAGCTGAATTACAAAGAGATGACTAGAGTGGGTTACCAAAGATATTTGGTAGGGTCAGCATGGGGGCCCTGTCCAAAGTATACAGGATGTTCAAGGCCAATCTGAGTTTGGGAATCCTTATCAGTGTGTTCAAGGCTAATTTTATATATACAGGCACAAAAGCATCGACACTGCAAGCTATACACTGTGCAGGTGTGCCCTTCTATAACCCAATAACTAATGTCACTATTTCACAAGAATCCACTTTTGTCTAAGCTGATATAAAGTATGTAACTGACCAGCCAATACACAGACACTCGTTTGAATTACTATGTTTGCAATGATTGCTATGTTAGCAGCGGCTATTTAGTATGGCTCCTATGTTGGGGGCTGCTTTGTAGGGAAGATACAATATAAAGCAGCCAGTTACAACTGTTTACTTTATAGACTACCTGTAGGGATTAACTGTGAAGAACTGTTTTGTCTAATGATTCCTTGGTAAAATGGCTACTTGGATTTCAATAAAGACTCTCTTATATATAAACATGACTTCTCATATCTTCTCCATCTAATAGAAGATGTCCATAAAGGTCCGGTTCATGGGAGAAAAGGACATGTACTTTCACAGTAAAAAATTTAGCTGAGCCGAAACCGGTTTGGCTCAGTGGTAGAGCGTCGGTCTGCAGACTGAAAGGTCCCGGGTTCGACTCCAGGCAAGGGCATGTACCTTGGTTGTGGGCACATCCCCGGTGGGGGGTGTGCGGGAAGCAGCTGGTCGATGTTTCTCTCTCATCGACGTTTCTGGCTCTCCCTTTCCCTTCCTCTCTGTAAAAAAATAAAATATATATTTTTTAAAAAATTAGCTGAAACCGGTTTGGCTCAGTGGATGGAGCAACGGCCTGTGGACTGAAGGGTCCCGGCTTTGATTTTGGTCAAGGGCATGTACCTTGGTTGTGGGCACATCCCCAGTGGGGGTATGCAGGAGGCGGCTGATTGATGTTTCTCTCTCATAGATGTTTCTAACTCTCTATCTCTCTCCCTTCCTCTCTGTAAAAAAAAAAAAAATCAATAAAATTGTAAAGAACTCACTATAAATTTCTAAATTAATTTTAAAAATGTAGAGCCCTAGCTGGGTACTTCAGTTTGTGAGAGTGTGGTTTTGATGCACAAAGGTAGTGGGTTTGATTTTTTCCATCAAGGTACAAGCACTGGGCAGCCAATAATATATAGATGAGGGGAAGAGCAGAACAATGTCTCTGACTCTCTCACTCTAAAAGCAATAAATAAATAAATAAATATTAAGTAAATTCAGAAAAGTTCCAGGATAAAATATCAAAATTCAAACATCAGTTCCATTTCTAAACACTAATAATAAATTTTTTTATAAAGAAAGGAAAAAAGGCCCATTGTCGGTGTTGCTCAGTTGATTGAACATCTTCCCATGAACTGACAAACAAACAGTTCATATATATATATATATATATATATATATGTACATAAACACACACACACACACACACATATATTTATATATATTTTTATTGATTTTTTTACAGAGAGGAAGAGAGAGGGATAGAAAGTTAGAAACATCGATCAGCTGCCTCCTGCACACCTCCTACTGGGGATGTGCACGCAACCAAGGTACATGCCCCTGATCGGAATCGAACCTGGGACCTTTCAGTTCACAGGCCAATGCTCTATCCACTGAGCCAAAACGGTTAGAGTGACAAGCAGTTCTTTTGTTGGTCAGGGTGTTACAGAACACGGGAGAGAAACAATGCAACATTTAGAGAAATGGAGTTACACTTCATTCAGTGTGGGCCTAGAGAAAAAATTAATGTTTCAATTCTGAGCAACATGAAGGAAGTTGTCCCTTTTTAGTTCTTTCTCTCCCAAACATGGGGTTTGCGGTTCCCTTTGCAGTTCTTAAAGAGCCTTATGTGTTAGGGCTTAAGGACCTCAACCTAAGACCTGGCCTGGCACCAGCACTGATAACTTTGTCTAGAGAAGGTTTATGGCCTCTCAAAAATAGGAGTAAACAGGTATTGCAGGACAAGACAATTAAAGGAACAGTGACTAGATTCAGATTGCTAGCCCCCAAAAATGTCTCTTTTTCTCAAGGGCACATGCCCAGGTTGTGGGCAAGATCCCAGGTAGGGAGCGTGCAGGAGGCAGTTGATGACTGTTTCTCAGATGGATGTTTCACTCTCTCCCTCTCCATTCCTTTCTTTCTAAAAAATCAACAACAACAACAAAAAAGAAATGAAGATCACTAGCCGGTTTTACTCAGTGTATAGAGTCAGTCTGAACTGAAAGGTCTCAGGTTCGATCCCCAGGATGCTGGCTGGTTCACCAGTAGGGGGTATGCAAGAGTCAGCCAATCAATGATTTTCTTTCATCATTGATATTTCTATCTTTCCCTCTCTCTTTCTCTCTGAAATCAATAAAAATATATTAAAAATAAATGCATAAATAAAACATTTAAGAGAAATGGTCAAGTTTACAATAGCACTAAAAAGAATAAAAAACTCAGGAATAAATTCAACCACAAAGATGTAAGATCTGTACATTGAACACTAAAATACAGTGGTGAAAAAAATGAAAGAAACCACAAAAAAGTGGAAAGATATCTGGTGTTGTTAGCTTTGAAAATGTGTTTTCCTTAAAATATCTACTCTACCCAAAGCAATCTCCAGATTAAATGTATTCCGAATGACAATTCCAATCTGTGAAACCTCCAATAGCAAAGTAATCTTTAGCAAGAACAAAACTGGTGGCATCACACTTCCTGCCTTCAATCTATTACAAAGTCAAAGCCACCAAACAATGTGTTGCTGAAATACACACAGAAACAAAGACACAAAACCAAAAAACACACAACAGAAAACAAAAAATTAAACAGGCGCATAAATTCAGGTAACCTTTGACAAAATCACAAGAAATTTTGAGAAAGGACAGTTTCTTCAATGAGGGGTATTGAAAAAATAGATATTCATATGAAAAACAAGAAAACTACTGATAAACATTTACTCAGATTGCATGAGAGAATTAAATGTCCATGTTAAAACTTTAAAATCCTTCAAGACAACCTAGGGAAAATGCTTTGGAGATTGGTTTTGGACCTGATTTTTGGGGTGTGGCACCAACCACCAGGCAAAAAGAGAAAAATCAGTCCAGACTGAAACAAATGGAAGTGCTTTTTCCCAGGACAATAGCAATTAACAAAATGACATGAAAACGCAAACAATAGGAAGATGAGAGATGATACTTGCAAATCATATGAATAAATTGACGATATTGTGGATTTGGTTCAGATCAACCAATAAAGCAAATATTGTGATACAGAGAGAAAGTCATGTTATGTTAACACTATAATGAAGGCTATGAAGAAGACAATAGTGTTGGTGAAAACATTTTATAGGTAAACACTGTTAACCTGCATCTAAGCCTGCTGGAAAAATAGCCACACTAGACTTTCTGAATGCGGAATTGCCAACAACATGAAATTTGTACATAAAACAAGAATGTAATATTTGGGAAGCACAATTAAGCAAATGCAAAAGGAAATGTATCTTATTGTAAACTAGAAAAATATTTAACACACTCATTAGCCATTAAATATAGTTAAAATTAGGACTAAAGCCTCAGCTGGTTTGCCTCAGTGGTTGAGCAGCCATCTATGAACCCAGGAGGTTATGGGTCTGTTCCGGTCAGAATTCATGCCCGAGTTGCTGGCTCAATCCCCACTACTAGGGGGGCATGCAGGAGACACCCAATTGATGATTCATATTCTCTCTCTCTCTCTCTCTCTCTCTCTCTCTCTCTCTCTCTCTCTCCTTCTCCCTCTCCCACTCCCTCCCTCTCCCTTCCTCTCCGATATCAATAAAAAAAAAAGATATTTACACATAAAATAGGAATAAGGATGGAGAGATACTTTAAAAATATATACATACACGCCGGGACTGGTTTGGCTCAATGGATAGAGCGTTGGCTTGGGGACTGAAGGGTCCCGTGTTCAATTCCGGTCAAGGGCATGTAGCTTGGTGGCGGGCATATCCCCAGTAGGGGGTGTGCAAGAGGCAGCTGATCGATGACTCTCTCTCATCGATGTTTCTAACTCTCTATCTCTCTCCCTTCCTCTCTGTACAAAATCAATAAAATATATATATAGATATATATATATATATATAGATAGATAGATATATAGATATATAGATAGATATATAGATATATAGATATATAGATATACACACACACACACACACACACACACACACAAATGACCAACAGGAATAAGGAATATGTTTTTGCTCACTACTCAACTAGAATTCATTAGGCTCCCTGTCACATAACTAACCACAAACCCTTCCCTATGAGTTCACTACAGCAGGTGTTGGGTCTAAAGGTATAGAAGGAAATAAATTAATTAAAAAAAAAAAAAAAAAAGTAGAGAAGGGAGCAGTGCAAACAACAAACCCTGCCAACCACTGCAAAAAAACCAGAAACTGGAAAAAGCTAGCAATGTATACAGTCCAGAGATGAGGGGGCTTGGGAAATGCAAAGGCAGGTACCAGGAACCAGCCAGAGTGAGGGTCTTACCCAGGGAGGACACGAGTTCAAAGTTCTCCAGCATCACATTCAGGTATAGCTGTTTCTGACTCTCATCCAGGAGGCTCCATTCCTCCCTGGAGAAGTACAGGGCAATGTCCTCAAAGGTCACGCCAACCTGTCAGAACGGAAACAATTGAAACCAGAGCTGTCTTTCTCAGGACCTGCCATCCTGCTCTGTACACATCTTCCTCACCCTCAACCTCCTCTAGGGCTCCCCAGTTTAGTGTGGACACCAGGCCCTAATGCCTGTGCTGGCTGCTCTCTTCCCACAGTCCCATTAGTCACTGTGACTGCCCTCAGCACAACAGATGGGCTGGGAAGGGGCACAGCAGAGAAACACCATCTAAGCTCTGGGCCATGCCTACAGGGCCCCAGCCTCCCTGCCAAGAAAGACCATTGCAGTCTCCCAGATCAGCCTCCAAGACAAAGAAAAACCTGGGCTTATGTTTCACCCTATATCACCAACATCAACTCTAGCTGGTTTGGCTCAGTGGATAGCACATTGGACTGAAGGATCCCAGGTTCGATTCTAATGAAGAGCACATGCCCGGGTGGCAGACTGGATACCCTGTAGGGGGCGTGCAGGAGGCAACCTCTGGATGATTCTCTGTCATTGCTGTTGTCTCTCTCTCCCTGTCCCTTCCTCTTTGAAACCAACAAATATACAATGAGTGGCCAGATTATTATGATCTCTGAACGCATAATAACCTGGCCACTCAGTGTACATCCTATATAATAAAAGGCTAAAATGCAAATTGCCCCCCCTCCACCCCTGACCAAGAGTTTGACCAGCAGTCAGGCTGGCCAACTGCCCATGTCCCCTCCTCCTGGCCAGTGCCCACCCATGCATGAATTCATGCACCGGGCCACACACACACACACACACACACACACACACACACACTAAGTGGCCAGATTATTATGCGTTCAGAAATCATAATAATCTGGCCACTCGGTGTGAGTGTGTGTGTGTGTGTATATGTTTGTTTTAAGTCCCAATACCAAGTCTCTGGGACCATCAGCTCACACTCCCTCCAGATGTGCACACCATTGTGTAATGTCACCCCATCCCCACTTCAGACCCCAGGTTCACTGCCTCAGCTCTGCCCCCTTCCTGCTCCACAGCCCAGGGCCTCTCAGGGATCAACCATCACCTTGGCATATGGCATCCAGAGAGAGCTTGAGAGGTTCCAGAAGGACCTATAGCACAACCCGATTCCTGGTGGACCCCACAGCGTGGGGAGAGAAGGGCCTGCGGCTCTGAAATCCTCCCTGCTGGTCTCTGACCTTGGATTCAATCCTCACCACCCACCTCCGCAGGGGAATTTCAGACACAAGTCACCCCTGTCCACTCTGCCCTGCACTTCCTGTGTCCTCAGAAGCCACCACGCTCCTCTCTCCCCTCCGCCTTCCTCGGAGTCCTTGACGGGGACGGAGCTGCAGGAGGGACAGGCGCGCAGACCCCGGGCTGCTGGGCGGAGGGTGCGGAGGCGGCGAGGGCAGGGGTGGTGGGAGGGGGGCGCGGACTCACCTCAGCGGAGCCCCTGAACGAGGCCATGGCCGGGCCGCTGTGCGCGGAACTGGGCGGAGAGCGGAGCGGCCCGGAAGCAGCAGGGGCGCAGGGAGGGAGGGAAGGGTCTCTGCTCCCTCACGGACGCGGGAAGCCGGGGCCTCAGCGAATTCCATTCACACGTGCGCGCTGAGCGGCGAGGACCCGCCTCTGCCACCACCCGGAAGCCTTCCACCTGAGGACCAATAGCCGCCCAGAGCGCACCGGAAGTCCCGCCCCTGAGCGCGGGTGACACAAAACAAAGGCCTTTTATGACCCTTCATTGGCTGAGCGGGCGGCATTTCTCACAAGGCCTTCTGGGTAATATGGGTCCAGAGTCCAAGATGGTGATGGAAGGATTCTCCATATCAATCCAAGGAAACAGCGCCACCTGCTGGTAGGGGCACCGGGAAATGACCTTCCTTATGAGACATCTTGAAAATGGCTAAAAAGGAGTTATTTGATCCCCCTGATGCTCATTTTAAGAGATTTGCTCCCCATGAATTGAAGAGTATGAAAACGGTGAATCATGCTGAAAACCGGTGTGTTCAGTGGATAGAGAGTCGGCCTGCGGACTGAAGGGTCCTAGGTTCGATTCTGGTCAAGGGCATGTACCTTGGTTGCGGGCACATGCCCAGTAGGAGGTGTGCAGGAGGCAGCCGATCTATGTTTCTAACTCTCTCTCCTTCTCCCTTCCTCTCTGTAAAAAATCAATAAAATATGTATATTTAAAAAAAATATATATATGTTAAAAAAACAAAACAAAAAATGTTCCCATGGTGAGGCTAGGTGGTTGAGTATCGAACCATGCACCAAGAGCTCCCCAGTTTGATTTGGGGAGTGAGGGCACATGCCTGAGTTGAGGGTTCCATCCCCAGGAGTAGCGTGCAGAAGGCAGCCAATTGATGTTAATGCATTCATGTTCCTATCTGTCTCTTTCACTCCTCTTTCTCTAATATAAACTTTAAAAAAAATTTTTATTTAAAATGTTTTTATTTATTTTTAAATATATCTTTTTATTTATCTCAGAGAGAAAGGGAGAGGGAGAGACAGAAACATCAATGATGAGAATCATTGGCTGCCTTCTGAACACGCCTCACTTCAGACCGAGCCAGCAACCCAGGTGTATGGAATTGAACTTGGGACCCTTCAATCCATATGCCGATTTTCTATCCACTGAGCCAAACCAGCTAGGGCAAAAACATGTTTTTACTGCAAAAACCGTTTGGCTCAGTGGATAGAGCATCAGTCTGCGGACTGAAGGGTCCCAGGTTTGATTCCGGTCGGGGGCATGTACATTGGTTGCGGGCACATCCCTGGTGTGGGGTGTGCAGGAGGCGGCTGGTCGAAGTCTCTCTCTCATTGATGTTTCTGGCTCTCTATCTCTCTCCTCTCCCTTCCTCTCTGTAAAAGATCAATAAAATATATTAAAAAAATTAAAAAACCACGTTTTTATTGATTCCACAGAAGGGAGAGGAAGAGAGAGACACAAACATCAATGATGAGAGAGAATCATTGATTAGCTCCCTCCTGCACGCACACTACTGGAAATTGAGCCCACAAATCAGGCATGTGCCCTTGACCAGTATCAAATGAGGGCCCTTCAGTCTGCAGTCCAATGCTGTATTCATTGATCCAAAATGTATTCAAGTACATATATATATATATATTTTTTTAATATATTTTATTGATTTTTTACAGAGAGGAAGGGAGAGAGATAGAGAGCTAGAAACGTCGATGAGAGAGAAACAATGACCAGCTGCCTCTTGCACACCCCCCACCGGGGATGTGCCCACAACCAAGGTACATGCCCCCAACCGGAATTGAACCCGGGACCCTTCAATCCACAGACCGACGCTCTACCACTGAGCCAAACTGGTTTCAGCCGACTATATTTTTTTAAAAGGTAAAACATATTAAAATATATAATTTCAATGCAAAAAAAAAATATCTCCTAAATAAAAAATGGAACACAATGAGTGAAATTACAATATCCACCTTTGTTGTTCCAATGTGTTTTTGTTGAAGAAAATTGCCAAAACTACTCTTTTGTTTATTGCATCGGACTCGGCTCCCTGGTAGTCCTTGGGAATCACAAAGTCTGGGTGTAAGATTTCTTAGGACACAAGAAAGCACTCACTAAAAAGAATAAAAATGATAAAATAGAAAAAAAAAAAAAAAGAAAGAAAATTGCCAAAACTAATAGCACATTAGAGCATATGATCAGCAGTTTTAATCAAGATACAGACACAGGCTGAAATCGGCTGAGACACAGGCTCAGTGGATAGAGCATCAGTCTGCGGACTGAGAGGTCCCAGGTTCGATTCCAGTCAAGGGCATGTACTTGCGGGCACATCCCCAGTAAGGGGTGTGCAGGAGGCAGCTGATCGATGTTTCTCTCTCATCGAAGTTTCTAGCTCTCTATTCCTCTCCTTTCCTCTCTGTAAAAAAAAACAATAAAAAAAATTTTTTTTTAAAGATACAGACACAGAAAATACACATCTGACAAAAGATACACCATAAATTTCCAGAAAAAATACAACCAAACAGTGAGGTAGCAGGACAAAGTCACCAAGAAAAAATAGTTTACTTAATGATTTACCAAATAAAAGATTCTCTAGGATGTGAATTTGTATCCCTCACACACTGTTTAGAAATGCAAAAATGTGCCGAGACTGGTTTGGCTCAATGGATAGAGCGTCAGCTTGGGGACTGAAAGGTCCCGGGTTCGATTCCGGTCAAGGGCATGTACCTTGGTTGCGGGCACATCCCCAGTAGGGGGTGTGCAAGAGGCGGCTGATCGATGACTCTCTCTCATCGATGTTTCTAACTCTCTATCTCTCTCCCTTCCCCTCTGTACAAAATCAATAAAATATATTTTTAAAAAAAAGAAAAAAGAAAAAAAGAAATGCAAAAATGTACAATCAGTTTTCCCTGGAGCCCCTCAGATCTGTGTACACACTGCTCCTATAGTCTTCTCCTCAGAAACATTCCTGGATGCACATTTAGATGAGGACCATTCCACTTCATGGGCTGCAGTCTCGTCCAACAATTAGTTCAGTGTTTCTGCAGTGAAAGGGGTTCCCCTCACTGCGATGGTCCTCCAACCAGTGACCATGCCCCATAATTGAGGGCATTTGGGCACATGGCCCTCTGCAAGACCTGGGTAGGAGGTTCCCTTCAAATGTCTTAGCATCCCCTGAAAACAAGAAAATATTTCACGCTGCTCCCAGACATACTTGAGGTTATCACAGCTACCCCCTCTTTGCAGTGATCTCTGTGTCTAAAAGCATCCATCTGCACATGAAGAACTAGTGGGTCCACAGTGTTTCCTAGAAAAATACAGGCAGAAATGTAAATTAGGCAAACACTGCTGAGCTAATTTCTGCATCATACAGTTCCTCAAGGGCAAAGAATGTTTGAGACCCCTAAGAGCTTTTCACCTCATCAGGCTTGCAGAGCTCCGATCTCTTTATGAACTAACCCAGTGGTTGGCAAACTCACGAGCTGCATGTGGCTCTTTGACCCCTTGAGTGTGGCTCTTCCACAAAATACCATGGCCTGGGCGAGTCTACTTTGAAGAAGTGGTATTAGAAGAAGTTTTAAGTTTAAAAAATTTGGCTCTTCAAAGAAATTTCAATTCTTGTACTGTTGCTATTTGGCTCTGTTGACTAATGTGTCTGCCGACCAGTGAACTAACCCATAGAGTCAATAGAACACCCAAGATTAAAGAAGTCTTAGGATAAAACCTTCATTATTTTACAAACCAAAGAGACCTGAGACTGGCAGTTCTCCCACTGATGACTAAGGCACTCAATAAATTTATCACTGGCATGTCCCTGAAAATGGCAGTCACTCTACATTATGTTTACTGGGGCCAACAGTAATGAGTCCTATGTGGCAATGCATGACAGGGAAACAGGAAGAACTAAGGGCTCAGGTATTCCTAATTTTTTTCAACACACAACAGAGTTAGCTTCCCTGGGCACATGAGGATGGTGATTGATGCCATTTGTAGGGACTTTATCGGTGGATCAGGGGAAATACCTTAAGTGACAGAAATATGCAGTGAAACAGACCTGGCAACATGTATATGTATGTTAGAAAGTACAACACAGATACATATGATACCAACATAAATACGAACAAACACAACAACAAAAACAGTTGGGAGGATGTTAGATAATGTAGGGGAATTAAATGTATTAGATATAATTCAGACAAATGAGATATCACAAATATTCTTATTCTATTGTTAAGTCCTAACTAAGAAACTACATTTCCTTTTTTTTTACATCTAAGAAATTTCTCACATTTGGGCTCTTTTGTGCAGAGTGAATTTAAGAAATTTGACTGTGAGAGACTTCACAATAATTGCACTCATAATGGCTTTCTCCAGTGTTAACTCTCCAATGATATTGGAGACCATTGCTCTTGAAAAAGATTTCTCACACTCACTTCATTTATAAGGCTTCTCTCCTGTATGAACTCTCTGATGACGACGCAGGGCAATGCTCCAGGTAAAATATATCCCACATTCACTGCATTTATAAGGCTTTTCTCCAGTGTGAATTCTCTGATGACAATGAAGGGCAGTGCTACTGCTAAAAGATTTCCCACATTGACTGCAATGATAAGGCTTTTCTCCGGTGTGAATTCTCTGATGACAATGAAGGTCACTGCTAGTGGTAAAAGATTTCCCGCAATCACTGCATTTATAAGGCTTTTCTCCAGTGTGAACTCTCTGATGACGACGAAGGTCAGTGCTTCTGGGAAAAGATTTCCCACATTCATTGCATTCATAAGGCCTTTCTCCACTGTGAACACTCAGATGATAATGGAGGCCATTTCTACTGGTAAAAGCTTTCCCACATTCACTGCACTCAAAAGGCTTTTCCCCACTCTGACGTCTCTGTTGATAATGAAAGCTGGAAAATTTGGTAAGATATTTTCCACGTTCAGAGCACATAAAACACTGGCTTCCATCATGGACACCGTTTTCCTGAATAAAGATGTGGGTGCAACTAATGTCTTTCTTACATTCTTTTCTGGTATAATCATTTTTTCTCCTTTGAAATGTCATCCCACGCGTTGAACTAGCATTTGGACTGTCCCTGGTCTGAGTAGCCTTTAGGTGGAGATGTCCGGACTCGGTAAGGACACCTTGGCCAACTTCCCCGCATGTCAAATGATTCTGGGACACGTTGAAATTACAGCTGTTTGCATGTGAGATCTGGTCCACACGGCTCATGAAAGTCTTCTCTTTCACATGCTGTTGGTGAATTTCTGCACTGAAATAAAAGTGTTTTGCACATGCCCCACAGCTCAACAGTATCTGTGGATGTTGTGCTCCCTGCAGCTCCATCACATGGAAAATGTTTCCCAAGACCAGCTCACAACCTTCACAGGGGTGGCTCTTCTGGGAAGTCAAGGCTAACTTGGGATTCCTTGCCTGTGACACTCTTATAGAAATGTTCTTCTCAGTTGCTGCCTCCATATTCTCTGCTCCACAGCAGCAACCTGAACAAAAGGAAATGCTGGTGAGGGACATGATGACCTTATGAAAACAGAATATCTTCACCATAAATGCTTATCTGTCATGACTAGGCCTGATTCCAGTAGCTCAGTTGGTGAATGTGTGGTCCCTATGCACCAAGGTTATGGGTTTGATCCCCCATTCAGGGAGAGCCAGTGAATGCAGAGATGGGTAGAACAGCAGATAAATATTTCCATCTCTCTCTTTCTCTGTCTCCCTTCCTGTCTCTAAAATCAATAAATAATGGATGGCTAGTATGGCTCAGTGTGATTCAACATCAACCAATGAACTAGGAGGTCACAATTCAATTCCTTGTCCAGGCACATGCACCGGTGAAACATCTGTACATTGAACACTATAATACAGTGATGAAAGGAATGGAAGAAAACACAAATAAGTTGAAAGACACCCTCTGTACATAAATTTGAAAAAGAAATATCGTGAAGATATCTATAGTACACAAAGGATCTACAGAATAAATCTACACAGTGATAACTCCAATGGTATTTTACAAAGAAATGAAGCCGAAGCCGGTTTGGCTCAGCGGTAGAGCGTCGGTCTGCGGACTGAAAGGTCCCAGGTTCGATTCCGGTCAAGGGCATGTACCTTGGTTGCGGGCACATCCCCAGTAGGGGGTGTGCAAGAGGCAGCTGGTCAATCTTTCTCTCTCATCGACGTTTCTAGCTCTCTATCTCTCTCCCTTTCTCTCTGCTAAAAAATCAATAAAATATATTTTAAAAAAAAGAAATGAAAAGAGAATCTTGAAATGTATGGAACTGAAAGACCTCCACTAACAAAAGCAATCTTGAGCAAGAACAAAGCTGATGGCATCAGTTTATTGCAAAGAGAAAACAAGTGAAGAGTGTGCTGCTGCAGAAACACAGACACATAAATCAATAGTACAGAAGAGAAAACGCAGAAATAAACCCAGGCACATACTTTCAAGTAATCTTTGACAAAGCTGCAAGACATGGAAGAAATGTGTCAATGAATGGCGCTGCTAAAAATCGATATTCACAAGTAAAATAACAAAAGTGGACACCACTTCTAAAATGTAACTCAACCTGCAGGACAGAATTAAATATCAGCACTAAAACTTAAAACTCCTTAGGACAGCCTAGAGAAAAAGTTTTGGAGGTTTGATTTGGACAGGATTTTCTGAATGTGACACCAACCACCAGACAAAATAGAAAAAATAAACAGTCCACACTGCAACAAATAAACAAAAATAGCTTCTTCATGGCACACACACACACACACAAAAGCAAAATGAAATGAAAAGGCAATCTAGAGGATGAGAGAAAATATTCGCAAATCATATGAAGGAATCGCTTGGAGATATTGTGCATTCAGTTCTGATCAGCATAATAAAGCGAATACTGAGATACAGACAGAAATTCACACAAATAGTTGGAGTTCCCAGGGAATAATAAAAGTATGTTAAAACTATACTGCAGGCTAATAACAAAGCAATGACTCTGTCTCAAAAGCAAGTTCCATATAACTTCATTAAAAGTACTTTAATGCTTTGACTAGAAGCTCGGAGATATTTAAAGAATCTTGGTCAAGACTTTGTCAGATTACAAATACTAATCCACATTAGTTCCTTGTATACAGAGCCTTCAACGCCACTGAAAAGATAGCAATGAGATTCATAAACGAAAAACATCTAGAGGTAATTTTAGACTTTAAGATTTCCATGCTAATGACCACTTTGCAAGCTCAGGCAGAAGTATCATTCAATGCTTCACTGAAGAACTACTCTGAGGAGTTAGGCTTCCAGGACATATAACAACGCTCCCAAGAGACTGGGCTCACCGGATGGGGTTGTATTTTGATAGATCATTATCTGGGGCAGTTCAGAAACTGTACCGTCAATAATCCTAGATGGTAGGTCGTGTGACTACAATCAATATTACAGCTGGAATTGCATTATGTTGCTCTTTCTATATTGGCTTAGATATTGTGCATAACTATAAGAGCTGAGATGTTGACGAATATGAAATCCAAAAACATAAAGAATGAAATATGGCCGAAACCGGTTTGACTCAGTGGATAGACTGTGGACTGGAGAGTCCCAGTTTCGATTCTGGTGGAGAGCATGTACTTGGTTGCGGGCACATCACCAGTAGGGGGTGTGCAAGAGGCAGCTGTTTCTAACTCTCTATCACTCTTTTCCTTTCTGTGAAAAATCAATTAAAAAATATATATATATATATAAAAGAATGAAATGTTTATATGAACACTGTTTTAAGACTGTACTGGATAGCCCTAGCCAGTCTGGCTCAGTGGATTCAGTGGGACTGAAGGGTCCCAGGTTAAATTCTAGCCAAAGGCACATGCCTAGATCATGGGCTGCATGCCCAGTGTGGGGTGGGCAGGAGGCAACCAATCAATGATTCTCTCTCATCATTAATGTTTCTCTCTCTCACTCTCCCTTCTTCTGTAAAATCCATAAAAATATATATATAAAAAAAAAAGACTATCCTGGAAAGGTCTTATTATTCCCTTCCATGCATGACTTTTCATGAGAAAATATGTAGGGTGGGGCAAAAATAGGTTTACAGTTATTCATTTGGAAACTCTATCTAATAGGGTAATATGCAAATTGTTCAGGACACTGTCACAGTAACGACCAATCAGCAGGCTGTGGGCGTAGGCCTGGGCCTGGGGTTAGGCACATGCCTACACAGAAGGAAGCCTCCACTGCAGCTCCACCACCTGGGGTCCTCAAGCCTCCACTGTGATCAGGCCCAGGGTCTGCAGGTCTCCCCCAGCTCCGGACTACCTCCTTTGAGCAATCCATCAAGGAGACCTGGATGGGTGGGCGGGGATTACCACTTTGGCCAATGGTTCTCAGGGCTCCTGCACTATGACAGGGAACAGACCAGGCTGGGGATTTCCCCAGCCCTGGAGTACACAAATTTCATGCACCGGGCCACTAGTAATATAATAATTAACAAATATTAACAGATACTCTAATTCCTCCATTTTTCCCATTTAATAAAAGTTTTTAAATTGTAAAAAATAATAAAAACTAAGAATACATCCTAAACAGTTTGGCTCAGTGGATCTAGAGTAGGGGTGTCGAACTCAATCAGAGAAGGGGCCAAAATCTAAAATCCAGCCTAAATCGCAGGCCGAATGGTTTACTGAACAGTCATAAACTGTCATTGTGATGGAAACGAAGCGGAGTGCAGTGATGACAGCGTGGTGCGGGCCACATTGCAAGGCCTGGCGGGACGGATTTGGCCCGCGGGCCTTGTGTTTGACACATGTGATCTAGAGCATTTGTTGGTCTACAGACAGAAGGATCCAGGCTTTGATTCCAGTCAAGGGCATGTACCTTGGTTGTAGGCCCATACCTGGTGCTAGATGTGAAGGAGGCAGCTGATTAATGTTTCTAACTCTATCCCGCACCCTTCCTCTGTCAAAAAAAATCAATAAAGTGTATTTTAAAAAACAAAAACGAAGAATACAAGAAGAAACCCATGTTTCACTTGTAACTTTAAGCCTATTTTTTCCCTGCTCTGTATACACAGTAATTTCATATCATAAAATTTAACCTGTTGTGTAAGTGGTTTCTAGCTCTTCCTCCAAAAGACATGGCTGGTAGATGCTGTAATTTACACAGGCTACAAGCTCTGCATTTAGAAATGTGTTTGTCCACCTCTTGATCACAGTCACTGACTAAATCTCATGCACAAAAAGACAATTAAGAAACATTCAGTTTGATTTTTTTTTTTTTATACATCTTATGTTGCAGATTACATTCATTTTCTGTATTCATTTGTTCTTTTAGAAGTTAATACAATGTGGAGTCATGTTCATGATTAAGCAAAAAACGTTTATTGAAGTGATTCCAATAGTATTTTGTTCTAATACTTGTAGAATGATCTTTATTTTCCTTATTTCCTTTTTTAAAAAAATATATTTTATAGATTTTTTACAGAGAGGAAGGGAGAGGGATAGAGAGGTAGAAACATCGATGAGAGAGAGACATCTACCAGTTGCCTCATGCACACTCCCTATCAGGGATGTGCTCACAACTAATGTACATGCACTTGACCAAGATCGAACCTGCAGACTGATGCTCTATCCACTGAGCAACACCGGTTTCGGCCTAACTTTTTTTTTAACTGCACAACTATAAAACCTAGAAATGTTCTCCCATGCCTTTAAAAAAAAACAACTTAGCCGAAACCGGTTTGGCTCAATGGATAGAGCGTCGGCTTGGGGACTGAAGGGACCCGGGTTTGATTCAGGTCAAGGGCATGTACCTTGGTTGCGGGCATATCCCCAGTAGGGGATGTGCAAGAGGCAACTGATCGATGACTCTCTCTCTTTGATGTTTCTAACTCTCTCTCTCTCTCCCTTCCTCTCTGTACAAAATCAATAAAATATATTTTTTAAAAAAAAGAAAATTTAATTTTTTATTGTAAAGTATTTGTAACACTGCAAAGATGAATCCTATATATGTACAATGAAAATCATATCGTAAAGTTTTTTAAAAAATATATTTTATTGATTTTTTACAGAGAGGAAGGGAGAGAGATAGAGAGCCAGAAACATCAATGAGAGAGAACATCGACCAGCCGCCTCCTGCACACTCCCCACCAGGGATGTGCCCACAACCAACCCACATGTCCTTGACCAGAATGTATCCCGGGACCCTTCAGTCCGCAGACCGATGCTCTACCACTGAGCCAAACCGGTTTCGGCCATATTGTAAAGTTTTAAAAAATATTTTTTACTGCTAAAAAAATAGTAACAAGCATCTGAACTTGTCAGAAAAATGGTGGCACTAGACTTGCCGAACCCAGGGTTGCCAGAGACATGGAATTAATAAAAAAGAGGACATGGGGGAGCAATATCTGCAAAGCACAATTAAGCGCATGCAAAAACATGTGTTCCTCTACCTATTAGGCAATTAATCTATAAAATAAACAAGGTATTCAAAAGATTCTTTAACCAAAAAATACAGTTCATAAGCAAGATAAGGATGTAAAAACAATTCTTCAAAAACTATGTACAAATGACCAACAGGAACATAAAAAATGCTTTATTTACTGATCCAGGTGCAATCCCTCAGGATTCCTGCAACACTACCAACCACGAGTCCTTCCCTGTGAACTTAGTCCATTGGGGAGAATTGGGACTTCAGGAATAGAGGGGAGTAGGGGAAACAGACCAACCCTCTCCAGGACAGCAACTACCCAGCAAACTGGAAAATCAAGCAGAACCACAGTCTACATGGGTGTTGGGAGCCAGCAGAGTTGAGGCAAGCAACTCAGTCTTAAGGAAATAGAATTAAGTTCCTTCTAGCAGAAGTTATGCGGTGCCCTGAGGGGTTGGCCAGAAGATAAGATTAACCACTGCTTAGCATCTTCCTGCAGCTTCCCCTTCCTGATCCTACCCCCTAGATAGCCCAGCCTTGGAATGTTGCACCTTGGAATGTTATGCAAAGACCCCTCTGCATAGGCAACCCTGCCCCCCTTTGTTTCTGCTGTATAAATACAGCCATTTCAGAGAATAAAATTGAGGCTTGATCAGAACCTTGTCTTGCCTCCATTCTTCCAAGTTCCTTGTTTGTTTCATTCTCTTAGGTGGTTCCTGCATGCCCCCGTTGTTGTCCCGCGGGTCAGGATGCATGGGAGGACACAGCACACCCTGGGGAATGGAGCCTGGGAAATCCCAAAGCCAAGTCCAGATCACTGGTGACAGTGAGGGTCTTACCCAGCGAGGATACAAGTTCAAAGTTCTCCAGCATCACATTCAGGTACAGCTGTCTCTGACCCCCATCCAGGAGGCTCCATTCCTCCCTGGAGAAGTACAGGGCAATGTCCTCAAAGGTCATGCCAACCTAGCAGAATGGAGACAATTGAAACCACAGACGTCTTTCTGAGAACCCCATTTCTACTTCTTACACACCTTCCCCCCTCAACCTCCTCCAGGGCACCTGGTTAGTGTGGACAGCAGGCTCTAATGCCAGTGCAGGCTGCTCTCTCATCACAGTCTCATTACTCACTGGGATTGCCCTCAGCAGAGCAGCTGGGTTGGGTGGGAAGGATTGGGGGAGGGGAGGGGAGAGAGCAATGCCATTTAAACTCTGGGGATGCCTGCAGGGCCCCAGCCTTCCTGCCAAGCAATCCCACTGCAGTCTCCTAGACCATGCCTCCAAGATAAAGCCAAGCCTGAGTTTACCCTTCACCTTTATGTCCCCACACCAAGTCCAGGGAACAATCAGCTCGCACTTCCTCCAGATGTGCACACACTGGGTAATCTTTATCCCCTTCCCATCTTCAGTCCCGGGTTCACTCCCTCAGCTTTGCCCCCTTCCTGCTCCAATGCCACTGGGTCTCGCTGGACTCCCCCATGAACTTGGCACATGGCATGTGGAGAAGCCTGTCTTCCAGCGGGTCCAGGACCACCCCAGGCCCCTGAGGGACCCCACAGCCGGGAAAGCCCCCATGAGGCTGTGAGTCCTCCCTGCAGCCTCTGATCTGCCCGCCAATCCTCACAGCCACACCCTCAGGGGAACCTCAGAGGCCGGTCACCCCTGTCCTCTCCGCCCCGCACTGGCTGTGTCCTCAGAAGCCCCCGCGCTCCTCCCTCCCCTCCGCCTTCCTCACGGTCCTCCCCGCGGACGGAGCTGCAGGAGGGACAGGCCCGCACCGGGCTGTGGGGTGCGGGGTGAGGAGTTGGCGAGGGCCCGGGGGACACAAACTCACCTCGGCCACCCGCGTCCACACGGGCGCCGCCACTGGGCTCCGTGGGCGCAGCGGGGCGGGAGCGGAAACCGCTGCGGGAACGGCGGCGCCTGTCCGGGCCCCGGCGCGTGCGGTGCGCGAGCTTCCTGCACCCCCGGAGGCTCTCCCCATGGGCTGTGAGGCGGGAACACCTCTCTCCGGCCTTTTCTCTGCCACCGGGAGCTCCTGACCGCCTGAGACAGACCTGACAGAAGATAAAATCCCGCCTTCCAGACTACGGCTCCGCCCCAAAGAACCGGGGAACAGAAATGCCTATTCTGAGCCTCCATTGGCTCAGCCTGGTGGCAGTCCATGCATGGCCTTCTGGGTAATGTAGTTCCTATGCTCCGAGGCCAGGATCCTGTATTTCCTCTGCTTTCTCCAGTGGATTTAAGTGCAAATAACCCAAGAACATGCCATGTAGGCTCAGGGCAGTTAGACAGACTGGAGCAGAGCATGGACTGGAGAGAGATGGGCCCTGAGACGTACTTCTCACCACTCCAACTTATTTGAAGCTGGCAATGGGGGAACCTGAGTAGAACTGACATTTAATTCTAACGACTTAGAAAGAAGGTAGACATAGTTTTGACATAATAGAGGGCAGAGAGGCAAAGGAAAAAGAAAGTAAATTGACAAACTGAAGGGCTTGTGTAAGGAGCAGAGGATCTGTAAAGAATTAGAGTTGAGGAAATAATAATAGTTAGATTCTCTCTCATCGATGTTTCAACTCTCTTCCTCTTTGTAAAAAATCAATAAAATATATATTTAAAATAATAATATTAGTAATAATAATAATAATAGCTGATGTCGCTCATGGCGGCTGCTGCTGTTGGGGTGCAGTGGGGCGGTGACTGAGCTGGTGCCTGGCCGCGGGCTTGGGCGGAGCCTGGGCCTGGCCTCCGCGTGCCTCCCGGGCTCCAAGCCCCTGATGCTGCTCCCGTGCTGACCCCGCCCGGCTGGGACAATGGTGAAGCATTTCCCGGGCCACAGTGTGTACCGGAATCCCTATAGCAAACATGTCTTGATGGAAGACATATTGCACCGGGAGGTCACCCCTGACCAGAAGCTCCTGTCCCGGAGACTCCTGACCAAAACCAACAGGATGCCCTGCTGGGCTGAGTGACTATTTCCTGCCAATGTTGCTCACTCAGTGTACATCCTGGAGGATTCCATTGTGGACCCACAGAACCAGACCATGACCACCTTCACCTGGAACATCAACCACGCCCAGCTGATGGTGGTGGAGGAACGATGTGTTTACTGGACCGAAATCCACAGGGAAGCTTGGGTCTCCTCTAGCTTATTTGGCGTCTCCAGAGCTGTCCAGGAATTTGGTCTCGCCGGTTCAAAAGCAATGTGACCAAGTCAATGAAGGGTTTTTAATACATCTTGGCCAAGCTGCAAGGTGAGACCCCTTCCAAAACCCTAGTTGAGACAGCCAAGGAAGCCATGGAGAAGGCAAAGGAGACGACACTGGCAGCTACAGAGAAGGCCAAGGACCTGGCCAAAAAGGCAGCCACCAAGAAGCAGCAGCAGCAGCAGTTTGTGTAGCCAACGCAGACCCTGTATGGCAGCGTACCACCCCACCAGCTGCACTCCCTCTGTCCTCCCCCTGTATTTTATTATTAAAAGTCAACTTCCAGCCTGAGCTACTCTCTGGGTAGTGGGTTGGAGGTGGGATCTGTCTGGCATCTACAATGCATCAGACATGCTATCCATGCCTGGGCCAGGCCTGCATCTTCCTGCATTGGACGGCTGAGGAGGGATTTGCCCAGGGTCACAGACAGCATGCAGGCAAGGTGGTCATAAACACTACACTGTAAGCTCCACGAGGGCAGGGACCTTTTTGTTCTCTGCTGTGTCCCAAGCATCTGGAACAATATCTAGCTCATAATAGACACTCAGTAAATGTTTGTTGAATTAAAAATAAAATAAAATGATAGCTCATGTCTACTAACCTCCAGGCCTGCATGTAGCTACATTCCTCACCCTAGCCTTTTCCCTGTTATAAACCTGTTCCCTACACTTGTTAGAAGGCAGGATCTAATGCTGGCAAGCACCCTTTGTTTTGTGTTTTTGGTTTTTTTAATGTATTTTATTGATTTTTTTGGCATAAGAACAGACATATAGACCAATGAAATAGAATAGAGCAGCGTTTTTCAACCGCTGTTCCGCGGCACATGTTGCCTGGTGTGCCGTAGGTGCAGACAAGACAAGAATTTTATAATTTTTCACTATTTTGTTTACTTAATATTTCATAATAAAGTAATTATAAAATACTTTCTTTGTGTTTATTTGATTCCTATTCAAGAGAATTACTTTATATATAGTCAATATAGGCACAGAGTTAAATTTTTTAACATTTTCTAATGGTGGTGTGCCTCGTGATTTTTTTTATGAAACAAGTGTGCCTTTGCCCAAAAAAGGTTGAAAAACACTGGAATAGAGGACTCAGAAATCTACCCAAACCACTATGTTCAATTAATATTTCACAAAGGAGGCAAGAACATACAATGGAATCAAGATAGTCTCTTCAATAAATGGTGTTGGGAAAATTGGACAGATACATGCAAAAAATGAAACTAGACCAGCAACTTCCACCATACATGTATCATCCTTTGTATTATTAAAGCTTTTGTCATATATTATTTACATTAGCAAATCATCCCATGACAATGGATCATGTAGAGAAGAATGTTAAGAAAAGAAAATATAGCCAAAACCGGTTTGGCTCAGTGGATAGAGTGTCAGCCTGTGAACTGAGAGGTCCCACGTTCAATTCCGGTCAAGGGCATGTACCTGGGTTGCGGACACATCCCCAGTGGGGAGGGGGGTGCAAGAGGCAGCTGAGCTGGTCGATGACTCGATGACTCTCTCTCTCATTGATGTTTCTAACTCGCTCTCTCCCTTCCTCTCTGTAAAAGAATCAATAAAATATTAAAAAATTATTGTCCTTAAAAAAAAAAGAGGCAGCTAATTGATAATTCTCTCTCATTTATGTTTCTAGCTATCTATCTCTCTTCCTATCTGTGGAAAAATCAATAAAATATATTATAAAAAAAAAAGAAAAAACAAAATATTCATAATAAAGTATGAGCTATTGGTGGTATATTCAAAGGTCAGAAAAAAATGAGTTACTAATATATCTTTAATGAAACTTTAAATACTTATGAAATATAAAATAAAGCAGGAAAATACTTAGAAAAAGCAAAGTTCTCTATAAAAATGGCAAGTAAATCCATGATTACTGGGAGAGCTGTGAAGAACAGGGACAGATTAAATATGGTCATGAAGGAACTACAGTGACAGATATGGTCAGCATTATCACTATAATATTTCCAGTTTCATGCACACAAGAAGATTTACAAAATACTATACTAAACACGTATTTTACTGATTATAGCTTTTAAGATTGGTTCAAAATAAAAAAACCAAAACGTGTAAGTTCAAATATACTAAAAAAATAGGTTTGGCAAATCTATATTCAATCCACCTTCTTATGCTCTCTGGGTGACACTTTTGCCTCAGTGACAGAAAATATAATAATCAATGAAGAACTTTTCACCCAAACCAACAAGAATGCTGGCTGAATCACACAAGCCCCATCCCTAAACTACAGACACCCTTTGCCTCTGTTCTTCCTTTCTTGCCAGCTCACCAATGGCTCCGAGGTGAACATCTGAAAAGGATACAGGAAGCCACAAAACCTGTTGATTATATTCAATGACAATGACTGTGTCCACAGAAGATAAACATGCCTGGAGATCCTCACATCTGTGTATACCCTGCTCCTGTAGTCTTTTTCTCAGAAACGTTCCTGGATGCATGTTTAGATGAGGAACATTCCATCTACTGAGCTGCGATTCCCTCCAAAACTCTTTAGGTCAGTGTTTCTGTAGTGAAAGGGTTTCCCCTAACTGCAATGGTCCTCACACCAGTGACCATCACCCACGGAATTGAAGGCACTAGGGCACATGGCCCTCTGGAAGACCTGGGCAAGAGATTACCTTCAAATGTATGGGCATCCCTTGAAAACAAGAAAAAATTCACACTGCTGGAAACATACTTGATGTTGTCACAGCTACTCCCTTTATGGAGTGATGTCTGTGTCTCAAAGCATCCATCTGCACATGAGGACTACAGAGGCCACAGTATTTCCTAGGAAGATATGGTTAACAATGAGAATTTGGCAAACTGCTGAGCTAATTTCTGCACCTTATTGTTCCCTGAAAAGCAAAGAATGTTTGAGACCCCAGAAAAGTTATTCACCTCATCGTGCTTGGAGAACCCTGATCTCCATATAAGCTAACCCACACAGTAAATAGAACACTCAAGATAAAAGAAGCTTTAGGAAGAAGTCTTCATTATTTTACAAAGAGAGACATGAGACTGGCAATTCTTTTTATTTATTTATTTATTTATTTATGCACCCCCTCCCTCCCTCTCACACATCCCCTCTCTCCCCAGAGTTTTGTGTCCATTGGTTGTACTTATATGCATATATAAAAGTCCTTCGGTTGATCTATTATCTCCCCCAGATCTTCCTCCCCTCCCCGCTGTAATTTGACAGTCTACTTGTTGATATACTGTCTCTATATCTATCTTTTGGTTCATCGGTTTATAATGCTCTTTATTATCCACAAATGAGTGAGGTCATGTGGTGTTTCTCTTTCATTGATTGGCTTATTTCACTCAGCATGATGTTCTCCAATTCCATCCAGGTTGCTGCAAATGATGAGAATTCCTTCTTTTTTATGGCAGCATAGTATTCCATTGTGTAGATGTACCATGGTTTTTGGATCCAATCATCTGCTGACGGACACTTAGGCTGTTTCCAAATTCTGGCTATTGTAGATTGTGCTGCTATGAACATAGGGGTGCATATATCCTTTCTGATTGGTGTTTCTAGTTTCTTGGGATATATTCCTAGAAGTGGGATTACTGGGTCAAATGGGAGTTCCATTTTCAGTTTTTTGAGGAAACTCCACACTGTTCTCCACAGTGGTTGCACCAGTCTGCATTCCCACCAGCAGTGCACGAGGGTTCCTTTTTCTCAGCAACCTCGCCAACACTTGTCGTTTGTTGATTTGTTGATGTTGGCCATTCTGACAGGTGTGAGATGGTACCGCATTGTTGTTTTGATTTGCATCTCTCGGACAATTAGTGACTTTGAGCATGTTTTCATGTGCCTTTTGGCCTTCCTTCTGTCTTCTTTTGAAAATGTTCTATTTAGGTCCATTGCCCATTTTTTAATTGGATTATTTATCTTCCTTTTATTTAGTTGTATAAGCTGTTTGTAGATGTTGGAGATTAAACCTTTATCAGTGGTATCATTTGCAAATATGTTCTCCCACACTGTGGGCTTTCTTGTTGTTTTGTTGATGGTTTCTTTTGCTGTAAGAGACTGGCAATTCTTGCAATGATGACTTATGCACCCAATAAATTCATCACTAGCATCTAGGAAAAGTGTGATCTTGACAATGGCAGTCCCTCTGCAATACTATGTTTTCTGGGCCAACATGAATCAGTCCTACATGCCAACAGGTGAGAGCGAAAACAATTACCAACCAAGGACTCAGGTATTCCTAATTTTCTTCAACAAATTAGAAAACAGTTAGCTTCATTGGGCATGTGAGGATGGGGATTGATGCTATCTGTAGGGCTTTATACATGGTTCATATAAATACCTCCAGCCACAGAAATATGCTGTGACATAGATTTTATAAATTCGGCAATATGTCTCTGTATATTGGAAAGTGCAACATATTACATAAGGGTCCAACATAAATATTATGTCCAGACTTCGTGATCCCCAAGGACCACCAGGGAGCCGAGTCCGATGCAATAAGCAAAAGAGCCTTCACCATGCTAGCATAGGCTCCCCCACTCATGCCGGCAGCATGGCGGAAGAGCGTGAATTTCTCCCAGTCCAGGGGTTTTGAGGGCTAGGGATAACTCCGCCCTACGGGGCGGAGTTGGGAGTTCATCCTCGCCCCACCCTGCCCTTTCATTCCCCCCTTGTCTAATGTGCCTAGTCAAATCATTGACTCAGCAGCCTACTTTCTTTCAGCATAAACAACAAATACAGTTATCAAGACCCTTAGTACCACAGTTCCCATCAGTATTGTCCTCACTGAAGTCCAGTTCCCCTCCTGCAGGCACCAGTTCTCCTCCTGGCCTGTAGTTGCCAGGATCCAGGCCATGCAGGAGCTGGGAGTCATGTAGTCAGGTCTGGGTGCCATCTACTTCAACAGCAGTGGGCGTGCTCAGGATAACAGTGCAGCATCCCTTTGAGTCCTTGGGCAGCAAATTTCTTTACCCACATTGAGTTCCGGGACTACAGGGTCTGCGGTGGGCACTGGCAGTGCATCTGGAACAAGCAAACTGCAGAGCCTGTAAGAACTTGAGCAAGGAAATGGTTACCATACATGATCCCCTCCCAAAAAGGGAAAACTTGTCCGAGTAAGAGGTACACCTGGCCCTCAAGAGGGCAAAGGACAGGGGGTTGGTCCAATTTTCACCGATTCTAAGACACATTTAGTTAAACCCCCTTCCTCCCGAGTCGCACCTACCTGTCCTAAGGCTAGAGCTATACTCTGAGATACCTTAGCTACCAAGGTGGGGCTGTTATCTGATGGTGGGGTATACCTCAACCTAATCTGAAGTGTCTATAAAAACTAGACCTTAATGCTGGTGGTTTAATCTCTGAAATCCACCTACCAATGCTTTCCTGGGGAGGTTCCCTGGGACCTGAATTCCCAGGGGGGATCCCCTTACCTTGCTTAGCATTTACCTGTGCACAGACAGTACTTCTAGCAACTCTGCCTCACAGATGTTCAGAAGTCTTGGTGACACTTAACCTGGTGTCACCGGGCAACTCTGACCTAGAGCCTCTGGGACCAACAGTCTTGTCATCTGGAGGGTCCATCAACCATCTGGTCCTTCAGTGGCTTGCTTCTGGTCAGCCAATTCCTTCTGGCTGCAGTTGGTAACCCTCTTTTCTCTGTGGATGGCACAGTGTCTCCATCAAAGGGCCTGGATTAAGGCCAAAAGTTCTGGAACTGTGCCCAAATGGTGTGGTCCAGGGTGACTACCGCTGCCCCTGCATATCAGGTCCCATCCTGAACATAACTGCTCCCATCTGTGAACAGTACCTTGTCGTCTGTTACCTCTGTGCAGTCATGAATGGGTTCCATCATCATCATCTGGAAGCAGGCTGGCAGGGTTGATGGCCAGAGTTTTATGAATCTGGACACAGGGCTGGTCCAGGAGAAAAGCCTGGCCCATCCAGGTTAGCTCCTGGTCCAGAGTCCGCTTATCTGTCTCCTTCACTAGCAATGCTGTGGCTGCCACAGGGTCCAGTCTCTTAGACAGATAGGCAACAGGTCTCTTCCAGGGACCTCGAGTCTGAGTGAGAACCCCTTTGGCAATGTCTCTTACCTCACTCACGAAGAGGTGGAAGGGCTCCGCGTTGTCCGGCAAGGCTAGGGCAGCTGCTGAGATGAGAGCCTTCTTTAGCTCCTCAAAGATCCGTTGTTCCACTTTGGACCAGTTCAACAGCTGCATTCCCCCAGTACGTGTTCCTTCCGAGGACCACAGTCCTTCTTGATGTCCAAGGAAAACAGGCAGTTTGTCCGGTGGCTTCCTGGGCTGATGTACGGGTCCTATTGGCTCTCTCAAGACTAAATATGGTGCCCCCATGCCCATCAGGAAACTAACAGGCTTGCCTCTCCTAGCTAACCTGTCAGGACATACTCTTTATAATTTTTATAAAAATCTTATCTTTCAAAAATACATAACCATGCCTCAAATTTTAAAGGCAAGGGAGGGAGCAGGTCCAGTACCTGTTCCCAGGCCTCTAACAGCCACCTGAAATGTAAAATGCCACATTTTCCCTACAGATATAGATTTATCTACATTTCTAAGCCCCTCTACTCCCCACTGCAGAACATCGGTGAAAATTGTCCAAGCAGTCTCGGGGGGTTAATCATACAAATAATTGTTTTCACATTGTTTTAACACAATTCTAAATAAATTATAAACCTTTGTGATGAAGTCTACTTAAATCTATAAAGTAGATACACATGACTGAAACCAAAAATGATTCCCAAAGTTTAAACAAAATACAAGATGCAGGTATAAGCCCAAATTCAACAACAATGGCATATGAGAAAAGCAAAACAAAACAAATCAAATATAAAAGTTTCATATGTTACATTAAACATTACTTTAGAAAAACTGACTTAAAAAAATACTGCATCACTGACTTAAAGTAATTTTTTTAAGTGTAAGCATTACATACTTTTTCATCTGACAAATGAGAATAAATCAATCCTTGAGATCTTTGATCATTACTGCTTATTCTTAACATATGTAATGTTTAATACAGTTTAGCCTGCCATATTCTAGGCATCTAGTTACTGCAATTAACTTTTCCTAATTCAACTTATACTTTGAACTTTTAAAGCTGGCAAGTCAAATAAATTTGGCATTTCTTAGATTAATAACATTACATTTCTAATACATCCTGCTTATTTAGGGTAAAGTTTCAGCAACAGATCTAATCATACAATTTTTTCAGATCTCAAAATTTTTTTCTAAAGTTCAAACAAAGCACTGAATAATCTCTTTGTAGGAGAGCTAATAGTCTTGCGCTCTCCAGCCTCCCCTAGACCTCTCCACACCAGAGGCAGTTTACTAGGATTTAAGACAATGTCAGAAAATCATAGGTCAATCACAATTCATACTTAAGTAGCTATATGACTCTGCTTAGCTGATACCAATGACAAGGAAGACTAACCATTGTGGGCTGCTTCACCACCAATCACCTGCCACTCCCTGAAGCTGGAGCAGCATTCAAATGCAAATGAACACATTCTTTACCTGAAGACTCTCAGCCATTACCATCTAGTTTCCGCCTCATGGCCGGGAATTTCAAAAGCTGCTTACAATGACTTGGGAAACCAGTTTTAATTTATCTCCACCACTTTTAAAACTTATTCTGTACCCAGTAAAGTGTTTTTAAGCACAGCCCAAAACTATGCGCACTCGTTTTGAACTGGCCTTTTCTCTTTACTGAGCACAGAGATTTGCCCTTGAGCTCTTCTCCGGTACCTGATGTCTCCAGGGACCAATGTCTCCACGCTGGCACAGGCCACGCTGGCCCAGGCCATGCTGGCCCAGGCCCCTAGGGCCCAGGCCCTGGAGCGAGGCTGCTTCGGCCGCAGCCCCAGCCACTCTACTCAGGCAGCCCCCCGAGGAGAAAGCGCGGGTCGCCCCAGCGGCTTCCCGGCTCCACTAGCAAATTAACCCAGGTGCCTGCTCCCTATGATTGCTAAGAGCTAACAAAGAAACTACATTTCCTTTACATTCAAGAAATTTCTCATATTTGGAGTCATATCTGCAAAGCATATTTAGAAACTTGCCTGAGAGATATCTCACATTAATTACATTCATAATGGCTTTCTCCTATGTGAAGTGTCTGATGATATTGGAAACGATCGCTACTTTTGAAAGATTTCCCACGGCATTTATAAGGCTTTTTTCCAGTGTGAATTCTCTGATGACAAATGAAGGTCATTGCTACTGGCAAAAGATTTCCCACATTCGTTGCATTTAAAGGCTTTTCTCCTATGTGAACTCTGATGATAAGGGAAACCACTGGTACATGGGAAAGTTTTTCCACATTCACTGCATTCAAAAGGCTTTTCTCCTGTGTGAACTCTGATGATATTGGAGACTAGTACTCCTTGTAAAAGACTTACCACATTCAGTGCATATATAAGGCTTTTCTCCTGTGTGCGCTCTCTCATGATATTGGAGACCAGTGCTACTTGTAAAAGATTTCCCACATTCACTGCATTTATAGGGCTTTTCTCCTTTGTGAACTCTCTGATGATACTGCAGACCATTGCTACTTTTGAGAAATTTCCCACATTCACTGCATTTATAAGGCTTTTCTCCAGTATGTACTTTCTGATGACGAAGAAGGTCAGTGCTCCAGATAAAATATTTCCCACATTCACCGCATTTATAAGGCTTTTCTCCAGTGTGAATTTTCTGATGACAATGAAGTGAAGTGCTACTGGAAAAAGATTTCCCACAGACACTGCATTTATAAGGCTTTTCTCCAGTGTGAATTCTCTGATGACAATGAAGGTTACTGCTACTGGTAAAATATTTCCCACATTCACTGCAGTGATAAGGCTTTTGTCCTGTGTGAACTCTCTGATGATACTGGAGACTATTAGTACACGTAAAAGACTTACCACATTCACTGCAGTCATAAGGCTTTTCTCCTGTGTGAACTTTCTGATGATACTGGAGACCAGTACTAAATGTAAAAGACTTACCACATTCACTGCATTGATAAGGCTTTTCTCCTCTGTGAACTCTCTGATGATATTGGAGACCAGTGCTACTTGAAAAAGATTTCTCACATTCACTGCATTTATAAGGCTTTTCTCCTGTATGAACTCTCTGATGACTACGAAGGTGGGTGTTAGTGATAAAAGATTTCTCACATTCACTGCATTTATAAGGCTTTTCTCCAGTGTGAACTCTCTGATGATATTGGAGACTATTAGCACATGTAAAAGTTTTCCCACATTCACTGCATTGATAAGACTTTTCTCCTGTGTGAACTCTCTGATGATTATGAAAGTAAGACTTAGTTGTAAAAGATTTCCCACATTCACTGCACTCATAGGGCCTTTCTCCAGTGTGCACTCTCTGATGTCGGCAAAGATTAGCATTACTGGTGTAAGCTTTCCCACATTCACTACATTTATAAGGCTTTTCTCCATTGTGAACTCTTTCGTGACAATGAAGGTTACTGCTCCTGGTGAATGATTTCCTACAGTCATTGTACTCAAAAGGCCTTTCTCCTGTGCAAACTCTCTGATTATAAAGGAGGGCACTGCTACTGCTAAAAGCTTTTCCATAGTCACTGCACTCATAAGTCCTTTCTCCAGTGTGATTTTGATGTAGATAATGAAAGCTAGAAAATTTGGGACAATATTCTCCACATTTAGAGCACATAAAACACTGACTTCCAGTATGGACACTCTTTTCCTGAATAAAGGTGTGGTTGCAATTCATGTCTTTCTTACGTTCTTTTCTGGTGTAATAATATTTTCTCCTTTTAAATGTCATCCCTGGCATTGAAATAGCATTTGGACTGTCCTTGGTCTGAGTAGCCTTTAGGTGGAGATGTCCTGACCTGGTAAGGACACTCTGCCCAACATTCTTGCGTTTGAAATGATTCTGGGACAAATTGAAATTGCAGCCATTTGCATGTGAGATCCTGTCCATACCTCTAATGAGAGTCTTCTCTCTCACATGTTGCTGGTCAAATTTTACACTGAAGTAAAACCGTTTTGCACATGCTCCACACCTCAACAGAATCTGTCCATGCTGTGTTCCCTGCAGCTCAGTCAAGTGAAAAATGTTTCCCAAGACAAGTCCACAACTCTTACAGGGGTGGCTCTTCTGGGAAGACAAGGCTACCTTCGGATTCCTTGCCTGTGACACTCTTACAGAATTGTTCTCTTCAGTGTGAGCCTCTACATTCTCTGCTCTACAGCAGCAACCTGAACAAAGGGAAACACTGGTGAGGTACATGGTGATCTTATGAAAACAGAATATCTTCACCACAAATGTTTATCTGTCATGACTAGGCATGATTCCTCAGAAAGATTTTCAAGATTAGTGAGTTAGACTTTGAGGAAATTGCTGTTATATGTAATGGGCCCCAAAAGTCAGTAGATAATGAAAAACTAACCAAGAGAGGGACAGAAGCACAGAATGGGATACAAAGAAGAGAAGAAGGCTCTACTCATTATTCCTGCTTCAAACGGCTTCCTTTAGGAACTTACATGCAGGCCATGTGAGTCTGTGTAGAATAATTTAAAGTGGCTCAAAGTCATAAAAATTAATTATATTAGAGCATATGATGTTCAACATCAATATAATAATATGAGTGCATTCCAAGGTGCTGCAGGCATGAACCAACATTGGGGTGCAGTAAAGAGAGACCTATGAAAGAGGCAGAGGTGCAAAGTCCAGAGCTATTAAGTTTATCCCATTGGCTGGGAATCCGAGTAGAAATTATCACTATGAGATCTGAGAAGTTGGCAAAGTATGAACAGTAAGCACAAACAAGCATAATTGGTTGAGGAATGGGCAATTAAAAAAACACTGGGTTTCTAGCTTTAACTGACCCTTCAACAAGACAAAACTGCCTGTGTCACTCATGAAGTCATGTTTCTTCTGTGATGCACAAATGATCCTTCCCCTCAAAATAAAAAAAGCCCTGTCATAGTTGCTTTGGCTCAGTGGATAGAGCATTGGCCTGCCCTGTGGACTGAGGGGTCCCAGGTTTTATTCCAGTCAAGGGCACATGCCTGGGTTGTAGGCTTGATCCCCATTGGGGGACATGCAGGAGGAAGCCAATCAATGATTCTCTCTGATCATTGATGTTTCTATTTCTCCCTCTTCCTTCCTCTCTGAAATCAATAAAGATATGTTAAAAAAAAAAAAAAAAGAAAAGAAAAAAGTCCTATATGACAAATCTACAGCCAACATCATACTCAATGGGCAAAAACTACAACCATTTTCCCTAAGAACAGGAACAAGACAGGTATGCCCACTTTCACCACTCCTGTTTGATATAAAACTGTAAGTGCTAGCCATAGTGATCAGATAAGAAGAAGAAATAAAAGGCATCCAAATTGGAAAAGAAGAAGTAAAACTGTCATTATTCACAGATGACATGATATTGTAACTAGAAAATCTTAAAGACTCCACTGAAAAAGTAATAAATATATTAAATGCATTCAGCAATGTAGCAGGATGCAATAGTAACACCAAGTAATCTATGGCTTTTTAAAAATATATATTTTATTGATTTTTTTACAGAGAGGAAGGGAAAGGGATAGAGAGTTGAAAAACATCCATGAGAGAAACATCGATCAGCTGCCTCCTGCGCATACTAGGGATGTGCCCACAACCAAGGTACATGCCCTTGACCAGAACTGATCCTGTGACCCATCAGTCCATAGGCCAACGCTCTATCCACTGAGCCAAATGGGTTAGGGCTCTATGGCTTTTTTTTTATACACCAATAATGAACTCACAGAAAGAGAAACAAACAAACAATCCTATATACCATTGCAACAAAAATATTAGGATACCTAGGAATAAACTTAACTAAGGAGGTCAAAGACTTGGAAAACTACAGGAAGTTGAAAAAAGAGTTAGAAAAAGCTATGAACAACTCAAAGAATATACCATGTTCATGGAATATACCATGTTCCATGGTAGAATTGGTAGAATGAACATCATGAAAATGTCCATAGTACCTAAAGCAAGCTATAGATTCAATGCAATCCCTATTAAGATACCAATGGCGCAAAACCAGTTTGACTCAGTGGATAGAGTGTCAGCCTGTAGACTGAAGGGTCCCAGGTTTGATTCTGGTCAACAGCATGTACCTTGGTTGCGGGCACATCCCTGATGGGACGTGTGCAGGAGGCAGCTCGTCGATGTTTCTATCTCATCGATGTTTCTAACTCTATCTCTCTCCCTTCCTCTCTATAAAAAAATATAAAAATAAAAAGAAAGATACCAATGGCATATTTCACAAACTTATAAATTCTCCAAAAATTCATGTGGAATAAAAACAAAAAAAACTAATAACTGCAGCAATCTTGAAAAAGAAGAACAAAATCGAAACCGGTTTGGCTCAGTAGTACAGCTTCAGTCTGCGGATTGAAAGGTCCCAGGTTCGATTCCAGTCAAGGTTGCGGGCACATCCCCAGTAGGGGCTGTGCAAGAGGCAGCTGACCGAGGTTTCTCTCTCATCGACGTTTCTGGCTCTCTGTCCCTCTCCCTTCCTCTCTGTAAGAAATCAATAAAATATAAAAAAATAAAATAAAAAGAACAAAGTTGGAGATATCAAAATACAAGATACCAAGCTATATATTACAAGAAATGTCTGGTGCAGGCAAAACAACAGACATATAGAACAATGCAACAGAAGAGAAAACCCAGATATAGATCCAATCCATTATGCTCAATATTTGACAAAGGAGGCAACAGCATACAATGGAGTCAAGATAGTCTCTTCAATAAATGGTGTTGGGAAAATTGGACAGATATATGCATATAATGAAACTAGAGCACCAACTTACAACAAACACAAAAATAAACTTAAAATGTTTAAAGAACTTAAACGTAAGAGGTGAACACATAAAAATTTTAGAAGAATCCCCAGGCAGCAAAATATCAGACATATGTCCTAGCAATATCTTTACCAATATATCTTGGAAGACAATGGAAAGTAAGGAAAAAATAAACAAATGATACCATATCAAAATATAAAGCTTCTGCACAGAAAATGAAACAATTAACAACACAAAAAGAAAGCCCACTGAATGGGAAAACATATTTGCCAATGTTATCTCCAATAACGGTTTACCCTCCAAAATTTACAGGGAACTCATACATCTTAACAAAAGGAAGATAAACAATCCAATCAATAAATAGACAAAGGACCTAAAAAGACACTTTTTTTTTTTTTTTTTTAAATATATTTTATTGATTTTTGTACAGAGAGAAAGGGAGATAGAGAGTTAGAAACCTCAATGAGAGAGAGTCATCGATCAGCTGCCTCCTGCACATCCCCCACTGGGGATATGCCCACAACCAAGGCACATGCCCTTGACCGGAACCGAACCCGGGGCCCCTCAGTCCCCAAGCCGACGCTCTATCCATTGAGCCAAACCGGTCCCGGCAAAAGACACTTTTTGAAAGGGGACATACAGAAGACCCTGAGACATATGAAACATGCTCAAAGTCACTAATCATCTAAGAGGTGCAAATCAAAACAATGAGATGCCATCTCATACCAGTCAGGATGGCTAGCATCAAATATTCGACTAAACGACAAGTGCTGTCATCGAGAATGTGGAGAAAAAGGACCCCTTGTGCAATATAGACCAGTGCAGACACTGTGGAAAATAGTATAGAGTTTCCAAAAAAAATTACATATGGAACTCCCATATAACCTAGTAATCCCACTTCTAGGAATATATCTCAAGAAATCAGAAACACCAATCAGAAAGGACATATGCACCCCTACATTCAGAGCAGCACAATTTACCATAGCTAAGATTTGGAAATAGCCCAAGTGTCCATGAGCAGATGAGTGGATTAAAAAACTGTGGTCCACCTACACAAAGGAATAGTACGCTGATGAAAAAAGAAGGAAAGTTTAGCATCTGCAATAGCATGGATGGACCTTGTCAGCATTATGCTAAGCAAAATAAGCCCATCGGATAAAGATAAATATCACATGATCTCACTCATTTGTGGTCAATGGGGGAAAGAGGAGATATATATAATACTTTAAACAATAAAGAATTTTTAAAAAGGAAATATAGTGAAGATAGCCATAACACACAATACAATCTACAGATTAAATGCAATCCTGAGGATAATCTTTCTGGCATTTTACAAAAAATGAAAAGAGAATCCTGAAATGTATGGAATTAAAAAAACTTGAATAGCAAAACCAAA